CTGTCAATTTCTTAGCTGGAGAGGCTCTTACCCAATCATGAGTTTGCAAATTGGATTGAGAAAACATCATTTGAAAAAGAACAGAGTTTTGAAGTGTGGTGTCTCTGGTTATTTTTGTGATAATTCAACTTGTACATGACTATATCTCTTACTTGTTTTTGGGGGTTAACTTAATTCCAAAAGCATCCACATACCTTTCTTTTTTTATTTAAACTTGTATGCCATGGAGGGGACCATAACCTTTGCGTTTACCTTCTAGATTTCTTTCAATTGCCATGATTTATTGCTGCTGCCCGTGGCGCCACTGCCAACTGAAATCTAAGTAGCTGCCATCTTTGCTAGTTGTGAGTTATTAGGTTGTCTCTCATGGAGAGATCTATTTTGCCTGCGAAATCTTACACTCTTATACTTGACTGAGAAATGGCACGAACAATTTTTCTCTTGCCCTCAGCGTACGAATCCTTCTAGCTTCAAAAATGTTCAGCAGAACGGTGCATAGTGGTGCCAATCACCTTAATCCACGTAAAACTGTTCCATTAAAAGAAATAAAGAGGAATTGTGGGTGATCAGAATTTTTTCAGGCATTGATGCCTTTTGGATTATGACAAAATGCACAATTTATGTTTAATGTCTCCTTCCGAGTTCCGAGTTGGCCCTGAGATGTTGGAGAGCTTATATTGATCGAAGTTCTGTAGTGAGGCTAAAAGAATAACTCTTTTCCTGGTCAAATGGTCATGTTATTCGTTACTGATATGTGCCTCAGCAGTCGATGATTAGTTGTCTGAGTCCAAGTGATTGTTGGGAGTGGGAGATACTGTGGTAGATATTACTCAACTTGAAAAATCGGAAACATATTTGAATATTGCCAAATGGGTTCTGACCTAATAAAGGACAATCTTCTTGTTCTTACTGGGTACTGGGAACAGTGTTATCTGTTCTTCATTTTCCATTTCTCTCTATAGAACCATTCCCGAAATGGCAATCTTTTCCCAAAAGTTTTTCAGGGCATTAAAATACAGCATTCGTAAAATTTTCTATATTGGTACTTATGTGCAGTGCCAGATGGTAGAAGTCAAAAAGGGATGAAAAATATGATAATTATTACGGTACACATTGGTAAACACGAGACTTTTAAGCAAGGTCAATGAACTTAATATTCTCATTTGTACCGCTTCCTCCTTTTAATTTATAAGATATTTTTAAACAAAATTATATGTACTAACAATTTATTAAATGTGTGTTAGAATTTTATTTTTTTAAAATAAAAATATAACTTTTAAAGATATCATTTATTTAATACTTCATTTATAAAAGAATATTATGAAGAGAGTATAAAGGGAATAGTAATATTAAAAATGTATCATTAATAAAGTCTTACTTTTATCAAAATGTTTTACATTTTCGGATGTTGAATCTTTTCAAAAGTATTTCGTAATTTAGGACGGAGATATTATTATATACTGTTTTGGTACAGGTGATATAAAATTTTAAAAAATTATTTTATTTTTATTAAATAGATATTTTGATTTAAAAATTCATGGTTTGTATTTAATATGTATTTTAATTAAATAACGTTAAATGAAATCTGGGTGAAAAATAAGTAATATGGGTTCAAAAACCCAATTGAATTCATAACACCGTAGTTCTAAAGCTGCAAAGGGATTTATTTTGAAGAGAACAATCATGACAAAGATATTTTTTTTTCTTGCATCTAACAAATAATCAATAATATAAGGCTTCAATCAAGAGCAAATGTTATAAATAAGGGTAAACTTGGAAATGAAGCTAACTAGAGTCTTTCAAAAGTAAGGTGGGTTAGACTTGATACAATGATTCAGGAAAGCTCCAATGGGGGTGGCGGCTTGTGGTGAAGTCATTCGCAATGAAAAAGAAAATTGAATTATGGAATTTTAAAATATCTTGATTTTCAGAATTATTGGACATTCTAAAAGGTTTTTAGTTTTGTTGGAATGTAAAATTCACTAAAATTAGTATTCACATTAATTTTATAGAAGTCTTTTCACTAATCTAGCATAACTTCTTTGATAGTTATCCTCAAACAATTCAAATTTTATTATTTTTAATGAATCTCCTATAGAACATAGAATCATCTTAAACTTTGTTATGATTTAATTTCTATAGTTTTTGTGCAGTTTTTTCTGTGATCCTGTACTTAAAAAAAAAAAAAAGGCTGCCCTTGTACTAAATCGTAAATTTGACCGCAGATGACAGTATCTTTCTTTCTGCTATTTTAAATTAATAAAAAGAAATTATGGGAATAAAGTACTGCATCTTATGGTTCCAAAAATTTAAGATAACGCCGACCGTGGGGATCGAACCCACGACCACGTGGTTAAAAGCCACGCGCTCTACCACTGAGCTAGGTCGGCTCATTGATGTTTGGGTTTAATATTATGGATTACACGTGAGGGTGGAATTGGGACTTATTCAATTAATGTCGTGCCTGGTATTCACTTCATTATTGTTTGTTCTGTATTTTGGATTTTGGTTTTACTGGACTATGTATTTTTTGGTTGTCTCTGATGATTGATAATGAGATTTCACTGGTCAAACCAGGTGGTAAAGAAAGAGGAGAGAACATTAAACACTAATAACGAGTGAACACTACACACACACACATTATCATCAAGATCAGTAGATCACCATGGTAAATAATTGATAATGGCCGTTAGCAATTCAAAATTGGAAAAACTGAACAAGGAAAATAAGAGTTACTTTCACCCATAGTACTTCTTCCATTTCAAATTATAAAATATTTTTAAACAAAATCTCACATATTAATAAACATCATTAAATATACTTATCAACCTTATCTTTCCAAAACAAAAATATAAACTCTCATTTAATATATTAAAAAGAGAAAAAATGAAAATCAATTATAAAAAGAGAAAGAGTAATATTGATATTAGTGCATTTAATAAAATATTAATATATGCAAAATGTCTTATATTTTAAGATAAAGAAACTTTTTAAAAAATGTCCTATAATTTAAAACAGAGATAGTAATATATTTGGGTGTGTGGGCAACTAGGCAACTTCTTTAACTTAGCTACAAATATATATTCCTCTAGTTTTATTTATAAATTACTTTTAAAATATTTTATTAGTATACAAAAAAACTTTAAAAATAGTCCAAAAAAAAAAGAGAAAGAAAATCAAAATGAAGGACCAGGTTAAGGTTATCGGCTCCACCACTAAGATAAGAAACACTTTTTTTTACCTGAAGATAAGAAACACCTTGGAACCTTGAATTGTTAATTTATTGTCATAGTTAGGTATGGAATAAATTAATATCTTACTTCCTTTATTTAAAAATTTAAAATATTTTTTGAGGAGTTAGATGTTAAAAAATATATGACATTTTTAATCTTTTTAGATGTAATCATTATCTTTTTTTCAAAAGTGTCATTATTGATAATGACTTTATATTTATTATAAGGTGTTTAATAGGGATAAATATAAAAAAATAAAGTTAGTTGAAAAGTAGGTAACTACTTTATTGAATGTGATTCAGTTAAATGCCTTATATTTTTTAACGGAATAAGTATTTAAAAAAAACATTATTTTTAGCCCCTGCATTATGTTGGGTTTTGATGTAAGTCTCTATAGATAAAAAAAAATATATAAAGATCTAAAATATTAAAAAAAATATAAAAATTTATAATAAAACTTAAATAAAATGTAAGGACTAAAGATAATATTTTCCTATTCTTTAAACACTCTTTTAAGTCGGAGACGTTATATTTATACCATTCGTTTTCAATTGTCTATATTAACTTAATGGTTAAGGCTTTTCTTTTTTTTTTTTGGGGGGGGTGGGTAAAAGAGATATGATTTAGTAATTACTAATCGATAGGAAAAAATTTTGAAGTGAAGAATATCATAAAAATAAAAAAGTGTGACTAATATGTATTGTGTAAAAAGTAATACAGAGTAATGATACTTTTTTTTTTTCCTGACAATGTTAATAAAATATAGTAAGTGACAAGACTATTATAAATTCATTTTATCTATAAAATACTATTCCGATGGAAATTAATTTTTATTAATTTTAATTATTAATAATTATCGTTTGAATTTATTTAGTTTATTCACATTTTAACTGCTATCGTAATCAAATTTAGGATAAATTACTTCCCTCTCTTTGTGAAAGCACACAACACAAATCATACGTAAATTAGACAATAAAATGTATTAATTTTTTATTCAAAATTTTTAAATTAACTATTTTATAATATTGATTAAATATATTTTAACCCTAAACAGTGTCAGTAATAAAAATATACTAATTTTATAATTAAAAAATGTATGCTTTGATTTTAATTACATTGCAGAAAAGGTTTTTTTAGGTTTATAAATGATAAACTTTTTCGGAAATTTAACGTAGGAGTCCAGCTCACGCGACTACACTACACGACAAACAACTTGGTACAAGTTACATCATAAGTTTGAGAAAAACATTTGATAAAAAAAAAAAAGCGCCGACCGTGGGGATCGAACCCACGACCACGTGGTTAAAAGCCACGCGCTCTACCACTGAGCTAGGTCGGCTTGTGATGTGTAAAAGCAATATAATATTATTATATATATGAGTTGTTGTAAAAACTTCAGAGAGCCCCCCCACCCTCCTTTTTTTTTTTAGTTTAATTTTATTTTTGTCATCACTTTCACTTTGAACTTGGACTGAGCAATGCAAAGAATTATGGCAATAGACCTTAAAACATGTACCTTCATCTAAAAAATATTGAAAATTTTAAAATTTAAACCTTTTCACTTTATCTAACTTCTTTCAATGTAATTCTGATTTAAGCTTAAATCCCACATGAAAATTGAAGAGTTAAGACCACTTTTCTTATTATGAACAGTTACTCTTTCTATTGAATAGAACTTTATGATGCAGAATCATTATATTAACTAGTCCTTAAAATGCTTTGCTCACAACACATGAAAATAGGTTGGACAAAATAAATGGAGAGGAATTGCTCCAACATTAATGCGTTAAAGATCTTTTCAAACTGTGAAATTAATATAAAGTAATACAAAGATTAAGAGTACATAAAGTTAATTAATCCCCCCTTTCTCTTCAAACTCTTAACATTTTCATAAGATTAAATTCTAAAATATACATCTGATGAACATGATTACTAGCAGTCGCTTTCCTTCCATCCTCCAATGTCTTTGTCAAGATAGTCGTCTTCTTCCTGTGAGCATAAAACAAAACGGCACTGTCAAAGATTTCTTTAAACTGATTGCATCATCACATGTATATATAGCAGCATAAACAAGTTGGAAATTGAAAAGCAGCGTACCTTAAGGGTGAAAGTTACACCAACTTCAATTTCTCCACAGTAAGATTGATCTACACCAACCACTCTATACTTGCGAGGATGAAGCTCAGCTCTTCCATTCTCTGCTCCTACAGCCAACAAATCCTCCACATATATTCTGCCACCACACACAATTAATCGATCCTTTGTCAACTTCAACTCTAACAACATATTCATTATGATATTTGGAGCTCTTGGGTAAGCATCCTTTAAAGAAAATCCTCATCATTAATAACTGAGTTGATTTATCTGTTTCTTTTATATCGAGCAAGTTTATTGAAGAATTGTTGACCCTTACTCGGCTTGGCCAAGGAAGTCATCAGAAGAAAAAAAGTCCTTGTCCTTGATTTTAAAGCTGAGCTTGAATTGGTCGCCTGATCCAGGATATTCTGCACTGAATACAAATTTCTCGTTCCACACTGGATTGCTACCTCCCTCTGCATCATATTATATATATATATATATAGAGTGAGCAAACATACGCCATAATTTTCTGATGCTTTACCTATAATTAATTAAGCAGCTACTTTTATTATTTTAGGATTTAGCATGTGTGGTTATGAATTTGAAACTTTAAATGCTTTTCATCATGCACTTGTAAGAGGAGGCAGCAAATGAACTTAATCTGCCTTGTGAACCTCCTTTATTAATTAAAAAGAGAAGTGTTAAAAAGAATATTTGGTCAACAATTTTGTTAAAGACCTTGCTGCTGTCAAATTTAAAATGTAACATTTGGACTCACAAAATGAAGACAGACAAACAACAACTTAACTAACAACTCTAGCTATCAACTTAGCAGCAAGTAAACGTTCGATTCAATTAGAGAGAGAGAAGGAGAGACGAAAGAAAGAATTGCTTATAAATCAGCATGCTATTTTATGAAGAAAAATATGGAATTAGCAAAAGCTTACAGAAGAAAACAGAAAGTGGTACTCAGTCTTAGTTATCAGCAGAATGAAGGAAAATCAGAAAAATTAATGTACTACATTCAGTTTGAACAGATCATTTGGTTCTTCACATTTCATTTTTCCTTCCCCAACATTCCACAAGCAAAGGATTCCGCCAGCTTACATAGTAGTCGATTAGCATGAAACTTAATCACAGAATTCTGAACCTTTTTTCCTTGACATGTGTATCGTGAAGCTCCTGGTTTCAAACGAGACCATATGCTATACGAATCATTTGGTTTAGTCAAGTACAGCTAATTAATAAATCTTTCTCATCATTAATTAAATACTCTTAAACACAAACTACTACTGTTTTACAAGTTCAGGTACAGCAGAGACGGTCATATACAGTGATAGCCAGAAAAACAATAAAGAAAAATGTTCAAAATTAACAGCTACATACGATGACTAAATCCACATTTCAATCAAGCAAATGCATCTTCAAACTGATTCCAGCGGGAATGATTGGAGTCACACACACACACACAAACTACTACTGTTTTACAAGTTCAGGTACAGCAGAGACGGTCATATACAGTGATAGCCAGAAAAACAATAAAGAAAAATGTTCAAAATTAACAGCTACATACGATGACTAAATCCACATTTCAATCAAGCAAATGCATCTCCAAACTGATTCCAGCGGGAATGATTGGAGTCACACACACACACACACAGGAATTCATGTCTAAGCAGATTGGTGATAGTAAAACTAACCATGGACTACACTAGTCTGGCGCTCTTGGCCTTTGTATTGTATCAGAACGTAGGGATCGATACGAGCTATAGAGAGAAGACACATATAAGAACGAAACATTGTTAGAATCAACATATAATAACACGGAAAACATAAAAACTTCCAGACACCAGAGAAATTCACTCAACCCCTTGTGAAATCGACGACACAGCGAATAACTCAAGAATTGGGGATTAATGTAGGGATTGTTGTGAAATCTCAAGTTATGAGTGAGAAAGATGACCAAAAGAAAAGTGGAAGTGGAAACGCACCGAAGAGATCTGACAGAGGAAGGCCCTTAGCTTTCACAACAAGCACCTCCATGAATCCGATCGCCATTTCTTTGTGTGACGTGTCCTTTGGAGCTCTTAGAAGAAGTAAACAACGCGGGGAGAAGTGAGAACTAGCCGATGATGCCTTCGATGACAATTTATAGCAACAAGAGACGAAAACCAGCGAAAGGTCGTCGCCTAACTCATTCCTGGTTTTCACGTTGGTTCGGAACGAGTCAAGCCCAGTCCCCTAGAAAAACGCTGTATTTGATTACCGTCACGTGCAAATAATCGTAATCCTGGCAAAATTGGACCCAAAAAAATTATTAATCTACTTTTTTTTTTGTTTAACATGTGATGATTTACATGCTCAATGGATTGCACTTCATTAACGTAAGCGCAATTTTCATTTTTTTTTCAAGAAAAAAAAATTAGAGTATTGGGTGCATCAATCGAGTTTCTATCTCTTTCTACTAACTATTCTAGGCATTTAGGATAGAAGAAAACTTGTATATTTAACTTTATATATTTAATATATTTGTATTCAATTAAATTAAGACATGTAAATTTTTTATAAATTATTTATTTTATAATAAATTCTTATTATTAATTTTTTTAACATATTAAGATTTACTTCTCATAATTTAATTAAATATAAATATATTAAGTATATAAGACTAAGTATATATGCTTTATCTTTTGTTATAAAGTTCAAAGGATATTGATGTAGTAGATCCATTAGAATAAAAGGGAACTCATCTAGGAGAGAAATAAGTTTTAAAAGTATTTCTGTACGAGCAATTTTTCAAAAAATAAATGTAATAGTGGCTTTAAAATTGAGAGATTATAACATACACGAAATACAACCCCAATTGGTGGTGGAAACAAGCGTCTAAGAGAAGTAATTATGTTCATTGGTAAGGGAAAACAAACATCATGATCACCATTATAATGTTTAGTAGACGTCTTGGACTCTTTGTTGATGAATAATTTATAATGTAATTTATGACAAAAATTTGATTTATGTGGTATTGATGCAATTCATATGTAATAAGAGTGTGTTTGAATTTCATTGATAATATAAAGATCTTGCTGATAAATGAATTATAAATATTTTTTTCGTAGAGGCAAGAGCTTAAATAAATAGTAAATTTCTAGTACCCAACTCATTTTCATTATAAAAATAAAAATAAACTAAAAGTGAGTGTATACACATGCATGTGAAAATAGGGATGGTAAAAAGAGAGTGTGTGTGTAGATTTGGGGTTTATAGAATAGGTTTTCATTAACATCATATGCAAATCTTGGGGGAGAGGGGATCGTGTAATTTGGCACATTGGGAGAGCATTATTTTGACCTTAATTATTAATTAGTAACATTAAATACAAAATAGTTATATAAAAAAGTCATGCACAAAAACTGATATATGCAAATCCAATTTCCAACAATCAATGTCAAATATATCCATGTGAAAACGTATTCTACAGAACTAATATTAGATAAATGTACAATCATAAGGTGCACGGAGAATCAAATGCATGAAGATTGGTTGATAAACAGTAAGACGGCAAATCAGTTATAAAATAATTCTGTTGCTTTTTCTTTCAAATAGTGAGGTTACAAGGTGGTAGAACAAGTATGGATTTGAGAATCGTGGTTAAATTAGGGGCACTTTGAGCATTTCATGCCAACTCGTGAGATGTTTTTAATTCTAATTCCTTTCTAGTTTCTACTGTCAGGTCTCAGCATCCACGAATGGACTTGTGTTCTGCAAAGTCTGCTTTTCATCCCCCCGCTAGAACGTTCTTTCAGGACTCCTCGTTTACAGTCCTTTGCCTTTTGACAGGTTGCATCAATAAGATCTCAATTTCGTAAGGGGGGGAGATGAGTTCTTAAAACGAGTACGCTTTTCATAATTCCTTCGGACATTAGGTCAGATAGTTAATGTTGATTAGAAATAGAAATGACCATTCAACGGTAGACGCCAAGATTATAGATTCATTCCAACCAAATCGATTCTCGTAGATCTTGGTTAGAGTTTAGCAAGCCTAACAAACATCCAATTTAAATGTCATTAATGATGTGCTTAAACCTAATTAGATAATTATATCTGTTCTTGAAGTTTGGCAAACGCCCATAATTTAGAACTTTCTTCTTACGGAAAATGGCCTGGAATTTTGAATTGAAGCTTCATAATCAGTCAAAAATCAGGAAATAAGTCAAGACTTTTACAGTCATACCAAGTTCAACACGTCCAAACAAATTCTTAATGCTACCTATTCCATACCACTTCATAACAGGCCCTTGATTGGCTGAAATTTTGATTTGAACCTTCACAATTAACCGAAAATCAACTTGATGTAGATTTTGTAGTTCTATTAAGTTCGGCACGCTCAGTAGAAATCAATTTCTAAGTCTTAAGGTGACATTACTTGAAATTTAAGCCAAGATACAGGTGTTTGTATAGGTTCACATATTCATGGAATTGTACAGAAGCCCAGCATCATGTTGCCACACCCTCTGCGACGTGCACCATGGAAACTATCAAAATAATGTCAGCCCTCATGGAGAACCAATCGTCTGGCCCAGAAAATCTTGCTATTAAATCATTTTACCTCATCTGCCATGTCTGGGAGACAAATCAGCAGACCTTGATCTTGACCCAATGGGTGATCTTGATGCTCTGCGTGGTGATTGCCCCCACTGGTCTCGTGCAGCCTCAGAGTTATACACAGATTTCCTTTCATAGGATTATCCAAGGCATACACAATCAACCTCCCAAAAAGAGGAAAAGGGCAGAAACAAGGCATGTAACCAAGTAAAAGAGCTAAACATAAATATATATCCGTTGAGACTCACTCATATCCATTGACAGTATCATAATCTGGACCATTGCCATAACCTGGAGAGTATGACCTGCGCTTCTGATCACCATCTCGCTCCACAGAAGGACCTCGTGGTGATCTAGGGTGCGCATCACGTGGTTTAGGGGAAACAGAATAGTCACCTCGCCTTCTTGGAGCAGGAGAATATGACCTGACAATGTCAAATCACAAGCATGATCAAATGCTTCTACGATGCTATAAACGACCAAGTTTGTCATATTCTAGACCTCACCTTGAATGGTATCTACTTCTAGAACCAGAGCGATAATGTGGGGAGCGTGATCTTGAAACTGAACGAGATCGGGATCGTCCTGAAGCATATTTAACATGAGAATAGATTCCATACAGTATTCAACTAAAAAACCTCATTCATTTGAAGAGTTTCCAATGTAAAATTACCTTTAGTTTTTCAGTGATAGGAGAACACAATATAAAACAAATTTCCTCCACGTGGTGGAAAAGGCTCCAATATATGAACTAGATTTATTATTAAAGTATATGTCCCGAGTAAGGTTAACCACACCCTTGATTTGATCTATCATGACAACTAGGTTTTGGCCAAAACTAAGTCATAACAATTTCATGTGATCCAGCAATCTGTCTTTAAAGCAGCCTTCAAGTCCCCAATTAAAGAAATTTTCCAATTAAATGAAATGGTAGACAAGAAAAATACATGAAAAACTACTTTTCAACAACTCAAGGTCAATGATGCAGTCCAGATGCCATTGACGAGTACAGACTTCATCACAATTGCAACTAACTTTGCATGACCAAAGCAAGACAATTGGGCATTGGGTTTGAAAGTCAGCAAGTGCATAATGGATGAGTCCTGAACCTTGTATGATATTTGTTTATCATATAGAAAACATAAATCATTATTTTAAAATATCAGATAAGAAAGTGTAGAACGCCTACATACACCCGTCCTACTCCTTTCAGAGAAGTATAACACAGCCGAACCTATTAGTATTTAATGATTCATAAATACTGACAGCACTTTAAACAAAACATACATGAGAGAAAGGTAATAAGAAGCGCTTACCCTAAAATTTACAACAAATATCAATATATAATCAGGGGTAAATCTTCCATCAGTCAATTCATTCTTTCATATATATGCAATCATGATAAGCCACATAAAATTCAGATCCACACAACAAGTATGAGAAGCCTAATGAGGCAAGGAAAAAAATTCAGATTGCATAGATTTGGAGTTTCTATTAACACATCAACAAAGGAAACTTCTTCAGTTTCAGACAACATGAAATATTAATTTTGAAAGTCACAGCAAATTGGAATATTAAAAAAAATTCAACTTTTGAAACAACATACCATAATAAGCCGACCTTCTCCCCCCATAGCCTACTGGTCCTCTGCATAAGGGGAATAATATCCATATAATTAAAAGCAAATATCTTAGGCATAAGCCTAATTTGTTGTTTTCATCACACGAGAGCAAGGCGTCAAATAAGCAGAAGAAATACCTCATCCTTGACTTCTGACGCATCTCTTCTGGCCTTTTCCTTGACTCTGCAGCAACAACTACAGATATTTCCCTTCCAGCAAAAATCTGTCCATTCATATGATATTGTGCCTCTGAAGCATCATAAGGATCCACAAATTGCACAAATGCAAATCCACGAGGTTCTCTGTGTAAAGAAAAGTAGACCACCATTATAAGAATGACAGACCAAACACTAGCAGATACTCTTATGGTTCAGAATTTGCATACCCAGCAAGCACAGAAAATTGCATTACTTAGTAATAAATATAGCATTCATCAGAAAACATATAACATCAGAGACATGAAGGCAGCAGAGGATGTTGAATTAACTAAAGCCGCTAAAATCCAAGCTTAGTGGCTGACCTTTTTCTTTACATTCAAGTAGTAAAGGCAACCTCAAAAAGGCAAGTGACTTGAAAATTCTTCAACACTTGAATTTATACTCAATTGAATTCAACGTTCCCACAAACTTAAAAACATCTTCACCAAGTCTTCAATGGGACAAGAATCAATCTTCTTCCATCAAACTTCTATTGATTGTGTAATTATCTAAGTTCTCTTCACATAGGATAGGAACACTCTTCATATGAACATTTATATACTTGGGAACCAATATGTTAGGCAATGATAAACAGTGAGAGTAGGTCTCCTCAATTGTGGGGCTTGGGCTTGTTATACTTCAATTTCAAACCAACATACCCCCTGACAAACCAGTCCAATATTAATTCATGAAAGGAAAGTAAAACTAAATATTTAAAAAATATGTATATAATTCAGTTCAAGGGAAAAAAATCCATCCCCTACTTTGACGATAATTTAAGAGCACAAAAAGATACAAGGAAACCCAGAATTAACTGACAATTCAACAATTCTTACCAATCTGAAGAGCTTCACCTGCAAGTCAAATAGTTGTATGGGTACTTCATATCATACAAGTAAATTCTTTCATAAAATATTATCTATTCATATTTCATAGAAAGTCAAAATCTAAGCACAGTCGCAAAAATAAGAAACTAATCACAGTTGCATAATCCCCCCTGATTATTACTAAAATAAAAGTTTTAGGCACATACTCAGAAGAAAATGTTCAAACACCAAGGTAGCTATTAGCAGCTCACGTAAGCCTAAAGTATTTTTGTATTCAAATATTACAAAACTAATTTTGAGTGCTTAATTAGAATTTAGGGGGTAACAAATACAGTAATCATTATCTTATCAACTAATATAAACGAATCGCTATCAGCATTACTTGCTCTCAACCTTTACTTTTTAGTTATGCTCAGAGTCGCATTACCTGTATCTTGCCACATACCACGGAAAGCAAAATTCGTGCCACTAATAACTAGGAATGGCACTTACTCGGCGAGAAAGACAATAATGCCAGACCTCAGTAAATGAACATTAAGATTTATACACTATACCTTCAGAACATATAAAAGATACAGTAAGGGGAGAAAGGAAAACTAAAGCAGGCCATTGCGAGAGATCACCCTTCCCCCTGCAATAATACTCACCCAGTATAATAGTCCTTTGGTAGGTAAACATCCCGGACAGGTCCAAATCGCTCAAATGGAACTCGAAGTTCCTCTGGTCTGTGAAAACCATGATAGAATGGGTTAACATGAGGGTTCAGAAGCATAACCTAATGAAAATGGAGAGATAAGAAGATTTAACAGCATGCATACAGGCAAAACAAAACCGCATAAAAATAATCATACCGGCAATCGAGAGGAATGTTCCGAACCAAAAGGCTCCCATGATTTTGTTCCCTGCGTCTGCCTCCACCATAGCCCCTCCTGGGAGGGCTTCTCCCTCCACCACCGTATGCTCTCCTAGGAGGACTATAGTATGCTGGGCTGTACCTCCGCATCTTATCGCCTAAGAATGCAATAAAGCTTGCAAATCTAAGCAAAAATACTCGAAGTTATCGTCCAAAAAATTTATCACTGACAATATCATGAGCAAACCACTAAAAACCCAAATTAAAACGGGCAACTGATGATAATTACATCGTCACGGTACCACCCATAAAAATCAAATAAAGATGGAGAGAACACAGGATCATGAAATTTCATCAGAAAGTAGACAATACCGAGACGCTACAGACCGGAAAAGTAAAGTTTCACAGGCGGGGGTAACAAAGGTACATGAAGATCAACTTCGAAACAGTTCAGATATAAAAAATGCAACACGAATCAAACCATCTGCTTTACGTTTATCATGAAGATTGGATGGAATATGCATGGTTGATTACCTCCGCAACTGCGCTTCAGAGTACAAACAAGAAAGGAAGACCTAGCTCAGAGGTCAATTGGATACTTCACCTGAAAACTTATGCCGAACCTTCTTATTTTAAACCCTAGATCTCGGAGCCACGTCGTTTTGGATGGAGGAAATAAATGTGGCATTCAGTTTGGGCTGAAAAACTTGGGCAGAAACTGAAACCCAGCTATCTTAATTCTCAGTAGGATTACAAAAAACAATTGATTCGGAAGTCTGAACTTAACCAGCCCACTAAGCTGAGGCCCAGAGAACAGTTGATTTTGGGACAAAAAAGCCTTCTGCTTTCTTGTTTCTTTCCCCTTTTTTCCCCGTTGCATTTGGGGTGTGGGAAAATAAAAATACATATATTTTTAAATATGACTATAAAGACTTAGCAGTAGCTGACGTATATATAAATTTTATTATTTTTTTATGTTGACTTGTTAAAATTATGATCAATTGTATAAAAATAAAAATTTAGAGAAGAAACCAAAAAGAAACAGTCAAAATCCTTAAAAGCATAATAAGTGAAGCTTCAGAATGGAAAAGACGTAACAATTGAGATAAAAAAAATTACTAGTTATTTTTCTCATACAGTACCCAATTCAATATAGTTTTATCAATTTAGCAACAAAATTAACAGAGTTGTGTATATATCAATAGATTTACTCTATCAATATCAATAAAGACTAACATTGCCGGTAAATAAAATTTAAGGGATTAGGAACAATGAAAAGGAATGTAGAAACCAATAACAAAATATGCTAAAAATATAGGGGCCAATTATATTTTCCCTATTTGTAGTGTAAGCCAAATTTACACTTGACTCTTTATTACAATAACGTTTAGAAAATTTTTTTTTATCATTTATTAATATTAATATCAATATCAATGCCATCATCAATTAATAACAAAAAAAATCTATTATAAATTGTACCATTTATAAGATAAATAATTCATTCTTCAGACTCCATGTTATATATTAAAATATATATATATATATAGAGTTAATATTAATTTATATAAAATTATAACAAAATATGATGTCCATAAATAAATCATTTATAGTAATTTTTCCCCTGAATGAATAGGAAGTTTGATTCATCACAAAACGCACATAACTCAACTTTTTTTTAATAAAAATGAAGACAATAGTTGTTTTATAATATTCTTAGAATCAAATTATGATATAAATATCATTTTTTACTTGAGCATGTATCTTTGATTTTCGTATTTTGTTGAAAAAAAGGTTTGATTATCTTTTATGGACAAATTATTCAGTTTCATGTATTAAAATATATAAGGAATTACATACAAGTTTTTTCTCTTATACCCCAGCATATATAAAAACAACATATTTCTTCCGTTAAAAAATATAAAATATTTTTTAAAGAGTTGAATATTTAAAAATGTAAAATATTTTTAGTCTTTTGAGGTGTAATTAATATTCTATTTTTTAAAAGTATGCCTATTAATAATAATTTTATATTTATTGTAAGGTATTTAATAGGAGTAAATATGAAAAGATAAGGTTAGTTAAAAAGTAGATAATTATTTTATTAAAAAGTGATATTCAATTAAAAATATTTTATATTTTTAAATAAAAAGGATAATAATTTAGCTTTCATGGGTCAACTCATAAACCTAGTTCCAAAGCATCTTTTTTTTATTTTTTTTAACCTTTGTTTGAAAGCTTTGACGAACAAAGAGTTATCCCTCCAAATTTTAGGTGTGCAAATTAGCTATCCCCATGTGGCAACATTTTTCATCTAAAAAATATTTTTTTATTCATAAATATTTTTTATTGAAAATAATTCAAGACATTATTAGATGTTAAATGTGACTTTTTTTATTTATTTTATTTTATTCTGATTTTTGTGATGCCTTTCATTGCTCATTTCTCGGGGGAAAAAATTACTGGAAAATTTCAGTCGTTTGTTTCGCTACATTGTACCCTTTTTCTTTTTCTTTTTTTTTTTAATAATACCGAAACATATATGAGAACACCCTAAAAAGGAGTACAAAACATCCAAGAACAAGCGAGGTCACCTTCATCATTCACCTCCTAGAGGAAGAGGAGAGGGATAATTCCATTGTACTTTCCTTTTATTTGTTTCTTTAGAAGCAGTTTAATCATATTTGAGGTAAAAAAAAAACTAATTTTAATCAATATAAGATTGTCAAACTCAAGAGTTTAAATTAATTTATAATGAGAATGTAAATTCAAATTTTAAACTCGGATTACAAACTTATAAGAGTTTACTTTTAATGATAAATAATCATTAAAAATATATGGCTAAATAATTAAAATATAAAATATGATCATAATTTAATTTAAATATATTTCAAATATAAATCATTGAAATTATATCCATTCACATTAATAGATTATCATACTCAATGTAAAAATTTTAAAATACGTTAGCTTATTTTTTTGTATTTCTTATTTTTATTAATATTACTTTTATTTTTTAAATTTTATTTTTCTTTGAAATGGGTTCTACCGTTTCTGTAACCGAGTTCTACATAATATATAATTAACTTACTTAACTCAATAAAAAATTGATGAGTTTAATGAATCTAATTGAGGTTGCATCTAGTTTAAATTTATGAGTGAGTTGACACAATTTTATAAGTTAAAAATAAAAAAATGGTAAAATTTAAGAGTGAACTCATGAGTTAACTAAATTTTCATCCAATTTGAATTTGAGCGAGTTGACACAATTTTGTAAGTTAGAAATATGAAAATAATAAACTTAAAGGATTAACTCGAGAATTTGACAATAAAAGTAAGTATTATTATGTCTTGGCTATTAATTTGTGAAAAAACGATGGCTGATATATATATAGTATTGAGTCAGTATCCTCTAATCAAATTGACTTGGAAAATGACTTTTCATATAAACTGCAAAATAAAACCATAAATTAACATATTGTCAATAATTTACTTTGAAGTGGTAATTTTAGATAATCTATCGCAAAACAATACTATTAGTTTTTTTAACAGTACAAGAGTAAACGATAACAAAAATTATCCCTCATGTATTGAGGGCAAAAAGTAGCCTGAGCAATGATGAACGAGGTGTTGTATAGATAGTGCAGCTGTCTCATAAATATTTTGCAAGTTATTTAATAAATTAATAAATATGTGTAATATGTGTATCATATGCCCCCATCTCAGAGATAATAACTCCAAATGACTACCTGCGTTTGGACGTGAATGCTTCAGCAGATATTCAACAATTTGTTACCTGTGGGGGCATAGTTGGAGACAGCAAAGGCAATTGAATCAAAGGTTTTTTTAAGAAAAATTGGAATTCATGACAATCACTATAACAGAATTATATGGAATACTCATGGGGCTTAAATTTTGTCAAACAAATGGCTTTTTCAAGGTTCTTTTATTTACTGATTCAATGAAATCATTGAATCTTATATATTGTGGTGGTAGAGAGTATCATCCTATCCTCTTTATGAGGAGCTACAAAAAATTCGTGTACTTTTAGTTGCCAATCAACTTGTGTAGATGCAACATTGTTATAGAGAATCACTCAAATGTGCTGACAAGCTTGTTAGAAAAGCTCAATGCATAAAAGCAGACATTATTATTTTTAATTCTGTTCCTTCCTTTTGCTTTCCAAATTTCCTACAAGACATGAGATCTTTGACCTCTAATTAGGTTCTTGTTATTTGCTTTCAAGTTTCTGTAACTTGCCTTATGATTTCAAAATAATAATAATAATAATTGCTCCCACTAATAACTTGTCCATTCAATTTTTCTTTTTTATTTTTATATTCTTAATTTTCATGGCCCACAACACATTCTATGCTCATCATTTTATTTGTGGTTATTTATTTTTTTCATTAAAATCGACTCTTTTCCTCTATTTTTTTTTGTCATTTTTTCCCGTCTCACTTCAATTAAAAAAGCTAAATCCATAAGCAGCATCTTGTCACAATCTTCACACATTGTATATCCGTTAATGTATTTGTTTTTAGAGTTAGTCTTGATATTACAAGTAACAATTGCATAAGTTAAAAAGGCCATCTCTGCTATTAATATCATCAAGAATAGGAGATAAATTGTTGAATGGTAATTTGATCTTATATAAAGAAATAAATTTTTGATAGTATCAAAAATGAAAAAATTATTCAACATCATTAAAATATGAAACCTTTCATGAAAAGATTGTCTGAAAACATTCGAAGTAAAACTTATGATATATTTCAATTTTTTTTGTGGTATTATGATATATTTGTTTCATTGCAAGTATATTTTTATATGAGTAAATATATTATGTGCCCACAATTCAAAATTTCTGGATCCATCACTGAGTCTCGGTAATCCTCTTCTAACTATGAGTTGTTAAATATTAGTTTTGTGTTGCAGGGGCTGAGTTTCTTCAGAAAATTAAGGGTAAATACTACCGAAGGAAATTTTGAAACCGTTAAAAACATAAACAACCCAGTAGTCTTACTTCACAAATTCCATATAAAATTAAAAATTGCTGATCATAAACAGAAAAAACTACCAACCCAAAAGCATCATCCCAAACATGTTGTGAATTATCTAACATTTTTGCCTAAGGAGTTTTATTTCTATCTTCACATATCCGCCCGACCAATTTCATGATGTCCTTATCATTTTGGGAAGTCAATTGATATCACTGAAATTGGAGGAATCGTGATGTTCATGTTTGGCTGAGGATTCTCCAATAGGGTTTTCATTGGTACAACCTATATACAAGTCAAACACAAACATACATGAGTGTAATTTCACAATGAGCTTTAATTTACACCAATTTTCTCCAATAAATAAATTAATATACCCAAAATGATAACAAAAAAAAAAAACATATGTACCTTAACAGGATTGTAAAAGCTATTCTCGTCTCTGACATTGCCAGAAGTGAGCAAAGTAATTGTTGACCCAGAGAGATTCACATCGGGATCCAAGCCATCAATTTTAATACTTAGAGTCGTTGCTCGGTTAGCAAAATTCACAACCTAACAGAGATATTTCAAATCAACATTAAGCAACTAATTACCCATCAATTTGACCCACCCCAACATTGACTATCAATCTATGCATTACCTTAATCCTCAAATAACTCCTTTTGTTTGCGTAATCTTGCCAAACAATTGCTGATGCTACAATGGAAGATGGGGCTTTGAGTTTTGAGTTAACATATGTCGCTCCACTTGATTGTGTGAATAGTTGTTGCAACCAATAACTAGGAACTCCGTAGCTCCGATATGAATCAAACACGATTGCATCTGGTTTCCATCTGTGTCATCCACACATAAAAATTACATAATTTTCATTCAAAGTATATGCGTATATAAATATATACATAAAATAAAATAATTAAAGTGTATTACTTTTGGTCATTGTAATTTACAAAAAGTGGTGCATAAGAGACCATTTCCACAAGATCACTGCAGCATAAACATCAATATATTAGCATTTAAGTTATTAAAACATATATTCAATGATTTAGGGAACAATGAACCTGTTCTTTTCTAATCCCATAAGGAATGCAGCTTCTCCTAATGCAGACAAAAGAGATCCAAATCCAGCATCTTCTTTCCATACAGCGTACTCACTAATAAAAGCCTTGGCGCCAATACGTCTAGCAGAATCAAACTTGTTGTATTTTGAGAAAATATCCTCAGCAGTAGTATAAATATGAAAATCAAACAAATCTGCCGGTTGATCTAGTGGTTTTATGGTGGCATCACAATTTGAGATTATTTGCATATCTGGATAGCGATGCTTGATGGCTTTATAGAATTTAAGATAATTTCCTTGATAATTATACATGTCACAGTCCTCATTTCCAACAGCAACAAATCGTAAATCAAATGGTTTAGGATGTCCCAAAGAAGCTCTAATCTTTCCCCACTTTGATGTGGTCGGACCTTTAGCAAATTCTATACCATCAAGAGCTTCCTATAAAATCATTAATGCAAAATATTAGTTGAGCTTAATTACTAAAAAATAAAGAGGAAGTAACGATTTTAAAATTATACTTGCACAAAAGGACCAATCTCAGTTGTATTGATTTCTTCTTGACGAGCAATTCCAGCATTAAACACCCACACTGGCAATGCACCAAGGTCTTCTGCAAGCTTTTTAAATGCAAAAAGTCAAACTAAGTTATTGACTTATTGATACAAAAAAAAAATAATTACTTGGAAAAAAAAATTAAAGGGCATATACTTGAAGCATTTCTAGAAAACCCAAACCATCATCGGTCCAATAGTCCCATGGATCATTAAAGTGGCCAGGTCTATTCTCCCAAGGTCCAACAGTTTCTTTCCACCTGAACGCATTTCTTAATTTTTCTCCTTCAACATAGGTACCACCTATTGCAAACCAATATATAATTAAATTAATTATAACATCTTAAAAACTACATATTTAGAGGTGTATCGTTTTACATAAGCATACCTGGAAATCGAAAAAATTTTGGTTTCAAATCTGCCACCATTTGATATAAGTCCTTTCGAAAACCATGTCCCTAAAATAAAAAAAGAAATATAATTATAATCATAAAAGGAGAAGTATATAATAAACAAATATTATTTTCACATGATTAAAAATTACTATTTTAAATATTACAAACATTGTAAGTGTCTATGGGCATGGCTGAGACTTGATCCAACCAAATCACTCCCTTTTTGGTGGTTGTAATTTGCAAACTAGAATTAAAATCTGATCCAATGGCTTTAAGAATAGTTTCCATCCTTCTCCACTTTGAAACGACATTTGCAGATGCCCTACATGAATAGATTAATTAAGTAGTTGATACACACACACATAAAATAATTATCAGAAAAAGTTAAGGTGATAATAACCTTATATCAGTAGAAGCTAGTTCTTGGCCAAGTGTTCCTTTGAATGAGATTTTCAAATCAATTGGCCCTAATGCTCGAACATGGAAGACCACTTTATATTTCTTCCCTTCTTCAATAGACTAAAAGAATAATACATATAAATAAAATAATAATTAGATAGTTAAAATAGTTATTCAGCAATAAGGAACATAATGATATATAATTAAGAGTTAAAAGTCCAGACATACCATGCCCCAGAAACCAGGGTTAGAGAGGCCAACACCTTTTGGGCAATTCTTAGGAAATTCACAAAGGATATCCAATCTCACAGCAACTTTATTACGGGGAAATGGAGAAGCAAGTTCTGTTTCTACATGAATAGTTGATTCATTTCCAACAATTGACCAGGGAAAAATACTTGAAGGAACATTTGTGCCTCCAGCTTCAAAACCTTCATCACAACCATAAACTTGTGTTTAGTTATCAAAACACATCACATTATAGAAGGGAGAAAAAAGTTGAATCAATCCTTGAGAGGCAAGCTCAAAGTTGTTGTATGTATAATCACCTCTATTTCTTACGAGTTCTGTCCATATCCCTCCAGATCCAGCATGATTAATCTCCTATAAAACAAATATTCGGTTAATTATTCACACAATATTGTGTATACGAACATCTACATAGATATGTGAACTGTCAAATAATGCTAGGCATATAATATATATGTTTACCTCAAAAAATACTCCAAAAAAGTGTTCAGAAATTGGCCATCCAGACTCAAGATTTACAACTAGCGTTGAGACCTGCTTTGCATTGCATTGAGAAGCAAGGACAAAGAGTATGAGCGGAAGAGCACAAGCTTTGAAAGATGGCATCTTTATGTTACACTCAGGATTGTGCTTATTTTCATTTGTGCTAACTAGTATTTATAACCAAAGCTGATTAGGATTAAAATAGACTTGTTATAGTTCCTTTTTTTTTTGGGAAGTTGGTAGACTTAATTATTTTGGTTGATATAGAGACCTTATCCTATTTCTTAATTTATTTCCATTTATCATAAGAAATGTAACCTAACGTGTCTCCTCGTTTCTTTATTATTTTTTCTATTTTTGGCAAATCCAACAATATCTGTTTGTATATTTTTTACGATGAATGACGATAATTATATAATTTTGTTAATAATATATATTTTCTTTTGGCCAACCTAACGCAAAAATCTTCGAGATTATTGGTATTTTCAGACATGTAATTATCCACACATTTATTTAGCGTATTTAATTACATGAAAAGGAATTCCTAGTATGTATACATCGCGGTCGATTATTTTTAGAAAGCTATATATTTTTGGAAAACAAAATTTCAATTGAATGAAAGTTTATCAAAAATTATTTTTATGAAAAGAAATAATATGAATAATTGGAAATATAGAAAATTATAAAACAATGAAATCATATATGTGTGTGTGAGATATTCAAGTCATCAATTAAATGTATGATTCTCAAATTTTAGTTTCATGACACCTGATCCTGGGCAAGGGAATCAAATATTAAAAGAAAATTAAATTTGATTTCTTTTATGGATATGTTTTTCTTGGTAAATGAATATTACAACAAAATATAACTCTTTCATTGGGCGCAAGTCAACAAGCGATAATGACATTGTTGAGACAAAGCCTTGTCAAATGCACATCGTTTGTGCCATAGTTGTTAAATTTTTAAGTTAACTTTATAAATTTAATATTTTAATATTTTTAATTTATAAAATTATGTTAACTCACTCATAAATTCAAATTAAATATAAACTTAGTTAAATTCATGAGTTTATCTTTAAATTTGTCATTTTTATATTTTTAACTTATAAAATCGTGTCAACTAATTCATAAACTCGAACTAGATATAAGTTTAATTAAATTTATTAAGCTCGTTAATTTTTTTTTTGAGTTCAAATTAAGTATATACTATGAAAAATTCAATTCATAAAAATTATAAGACCTGGTTTAAAGGAAAAAAAATTAAAATGTAAAAACTAATATTAATAAAAAAGATAACAAAAATAACAAAAATAAGTTCCCCTATTTTAAAATTTATATGTCTTGTATATGATAATTTATTAATGTAGATGAGTTTAATTTCAATTATTTATATTTTTAATATATTTAAATTAAATTACAGTCATATTTTAATAGTTATTTGTTAATAGAGATAAACTCTTATAAGTTTATGATTCGAGTTTGTGATACGAGTTTACATTCCTATCACGAATTTATTTAAACTCATAAGTTTAACAACCTTAGCCTGTGCAATCCTTTTTTTTTTTTTTTGAAAAGGAACATAAACTAAATTTAGACAAACAGTTGATATGAAAGTAGAGCTGATGTTTTTATGATAGTACAATATTATTAATTCCTTATTCATGATCTTTTTGCAAGTTTGCTTGTTTTAATCAAGATATATGTATGACTCATCATGATCCATCTTAAGTTCTTAGCTTGCATCACCTTCCATATCACGCACACATTTCCACTGATTTCACATCCTCTTTGCAATTACGCTTAAGAGAGAGTATATATGTATTCTGATTTTTCAGTTTTTCAAAATTAAATCACTCATTGAATTGATGTAATACGCGCGAGAGCTTAATTATTCGAATTTCATTTGACTTTTTTTTTTTGGGCGGGACATCCAAAATTGATTAGTTTAGCTATACTCGAATTGTAAAATTTCTCTTTGTGGCCCAAAAAACAATTGTGGTGGAATTGATCGTCATACATTAATATATAATTTTAATTTTATGTTTAAAACTATTAAATGAAAAAAAAAATTATCATGGGAATTGTTTTACATTTTCAATGATTCTTAAAGGGCTTAACTTGTTTAGAATATAATGTTCCAAACCTAGCGAGAATTTAAGATTTGATTTGCTGGCTCACTAATAAAATTAAAGGCGCTAATTCTCAACTTGTTTAGAATATAATGTTCCAAACCTAGCGAGTAATTTTTAATACAACGCTAATTTCACATTATAAAGGGAAAGTGACAGGTGGGATTAATTCTGAAAACGCTCAAGTTGAGCTTTTAACATCAAAATGGGAACGTTACAACTTACAACGAAGCAAGGGAAGGGAAGGGAAGGGATAATTACAATCAATCAAGTCTTAAATAAAAAACTAATAATTTTTTCAGTTTGTTTTACAAGTTAAATTTTTATATTTGTATATGTTAAACTTAAGTATTACTCCTTCTATCTCAAATTATAAGACAATTTTAGAGGAAAAAGATTTGCTATTTCAAATTATAAGACACTTTAATAAGATTAAGGTGTAATTAAATATGCTAATTTCACTATTACTCTTTCTCTATCTATTTAATATTAATTAGGTGTGGATTTAAAGTTATTAAATGAAGGATAATTTTAAAAGTTTACATTTTTATTTTTAAAAATAAAGTTGTTAAGTATATTTGATGAGGGTTATTAATATATAAAATTTTTTTTAAAGTGTCTTATAATTTAAGACCGGCAGAGTATAATTTATAAGTGATTGAAAATTGTGAGTAATTAAATTTTTTATTTGAAACCTGCATATAAATTCTTCCAAACGAGAAATTATATTCCCAATTTCCCGTCTTTTCAGCGAGTTGATGACATTAAATCACATTAATGTCATTTCATAGAAAACCTATTCTATTTCATCATATTCCTTCCATATGCTTCATTTGTTATCTAATACTTTTCCGGATCTTATTATAAATAACATTTTATAATAAATTGATGAACATTTTTAGAAATTACTTTGTATACAAAGATGGATTATTAATTGCTTTATCCTAATTTTATCTTTTTATAATGTTATATTAGTAGAGTAACAGATTATAATATAAGAGCAAGTGTTTTTAAATATAATACATTTAATAAGGATAAAATAAGAAATTTTTTCAGATAATATCAATAATTTAATTACTAATTTATATATAGATTTAGAGGAAATATGAACAATAAAATAGATAAAATACTTATTGGAAGCAAAATAGAAAAGAGAAAAGATTTTCTTAATGGTGCGAATATCCTCATTCATTACTCATATTACAGAATGGAGGGGGGTAATTGCATTAATTTAATATGCCTTTAATTTTTTGCTAAAAAAATGCCTTTAATTTGATGTTAATGAGATAATAGATGTGGCGGAGAGGATGAATGTTTAGTGATTAAATCACATTAATGTCATTTAATTTCTTTGATTCCTTGTCGGCCCCAACTCCTTCGCAATAATGAATGGAATGAAAAGAACAAAAGATTGGCAAGAGCACCAACACTTCAGATTGTTTCATGTATTATCATGTTGGATGTCAATACTAGCCGATATATTTTTACTATGTATTTGTAGGGTGTCGAAATATTATTATTTTAATTTAAAAAATTTAATTTTCTACACATATTAGGTACTTCGAGACTGTAAGTTGATATTTTAAAACAGATAATTCAAAGCTATCTTTAAGAAATTAAATTTTTTAAATATTGCAATATTAATATTTTTTTCTAATATATTTTTGTGATTTGCTTTTTAAAGTCAAATTTTAGATTTTTCTTTAAAAAAAAGTCTTCGATATAATAAAGGGTTAATGTGTATTTTAATCCTTGAACTTTTTTTTAGGAGCTTTATGCATCTTGTAATGATAAGTGAAATAATTTTACTTTTAAACTATGTTTTGATGTGCAAAAATTCATTTGTTAGATAACCGTTAACTTTTTTGTTTTCTGTTGATATGATATGTGTGTGAAGCTCATACATAATGACAGGTAAAAATTTAACTATGTTATAAAACTTTAACTATGTTTATTAGTGTTAATTTACCCTTGAACTCTTTTTTTAAGAGCGCTTGGCTTTCTTTTTAAAGTTTTTTTTCTAAAAGCATTAAGCACTTTAAAGTATTGTCACAATAAAATTTAATAAATATTATTAAAATATTAAATATTTTAATATTTAATAATTGAAACATTATTATTTATAAATATTCATCTAAACTATATAAATTATTTTTTAAATATTAACATCTCAAACTAGTTTTTTAAAAATTTACAGATGACTTATAATATTTTATATATTGATCATATTTTTAATATTACTTGAGTTCTTTAAATTTTTTACATCATTTTCTGTAATTTTTTTAATCAACTAATAGTTTTTTTTAAAATATTACATCACTCAATTTAATATATTAATATTTTTGATATTTTATAATTTTGTATTTAAAAATGAAGAGAATGAATATCCAAATTAATAGAGGAATTTTTCTCTACATATCTCAATTATTATCTTATTAAGTAACCTTTTTTATGTGTATATTAATGGGACAGATGATATATTTTAAATAAATATTTTTGTTAGTATATTGTTGGTTTTAATCTATCATGTTTTTAATTTTACACCTAACACTGTAGCATATAAAAAATATTAAATTTAGGTGGTGCAATATTTTGAAAGAAAATCATTAGTTAACTAAAAAGGTTATAGAGAATGAGCTAAAAATTTAAGAAATTTAATGAATATTAAAAATATGGATTAGTTTCGACCTACACAAAAAGTGTAATGATCTAGGTATTATCTTAAAAAGAGATTGAAAAATCAATATGTAAAAAATAACAAGTTGTCTATAAGTTTATGAAAAATTAATTTGAGCTATTGATATTTAAAAAATAATTTATAAATTTTGATGAATATTTTTAAATAATAATATTACATTATTAAATATTAAAATATTTAATATTTTATTAATATTTATTAAATTTTATTTTCACAAGACTTTAAAGTGCTCAATATTCCTAAAAAAAAAACTTTAAGATATCTAGCACTTTTAAAAATAGAGTTTATGATGAAATTAATATCAAAAGACATGATTAAAGTTTTAATTTTATTGTACATGGGCCTTACGCACATGTCATGGTAACAAAAAGAAAATTAACGGCTAACTAATAAAAAAATTTTTTTTCTCCTAAAAAAATAGTTTAAGAAAAAAATTACATCACTTATCAATATAGGCTACCTAGTGCTTTTTGAAAAAATTTCAAATATAAAAATACACTTTAACCCTATAATAAAAATATAAAATTATATTTTTAATTATAAAAATGTAGAAATACAATCTTTTGTCATATAAAATCTATGCATGAAACTATTAGTAGAGACTAGATGATAGACAATTAGACATAGATAGAATAATTAATGATTATTTTTTTTTGGCATTATTATAAAAGATGACATATGTATGCCAATTTATTTTTAAATTGAAATTATATCTTTTATATTTTTTATGATCATGTATTAAAAATATATTCCCTCCATTCAAAAATATAAAGTATTTTTTGAGGAATTAGATATTAAAAAATATAAAATATTTTTAATCTTTTCCAAATGTAATCATTGCCTTTTTTTTCAAAAGTGTCCTTATTGATAAATAATAAGAGTAAATATGAAAAGATAAGGTTAGTTTGAAAGTAGGTAACTACTTTATTAAAAATAAAATTCAGTTAAAAATATTTTATATTTTAAATAAAGGAATATCATATTTTAATACATCATATATGATATGATACATATAGTATCCGATACGTGCATTAATATTTATGTATCATAATTGGCAAGTGAGCCAAACTCAAGCTAACCCACCAAATCAAATTTTGAATTAATGACAATTATGTCTTGAATTTTTTTAAAATAAATTTTAAATATTGATTGAAACAATTATAAACAAAAATATCTTATAATTTAATATCTATTAGTTATATTTAAAAGTGAAATGGCTTATATGCGTACAGTTATCTAAATCTAAACTCAATACCTTTAACTCATTTTTTCTTTTCTGGTTATTATTATTTGGTTATTACTTTCTATGAATATAACCAACTTAGTATTAGGTAGGTTATATATATATATTTCAATTATATTTCATCAAATAATTAATGAAAGTGTTTTGAATGAGGAAAACATTATATTTATTTTATTCAATTATATGATTGGAAATATGTAAAAAAATTTTAAAATAAGATTTTAATCAACTTTTGTTAGAAACTTAAAAATATAAATGAATTAGCAATGACTTATATTATGGTTCAAAAGAAGTATATTCTATTATATTTTTCTTTTTTATAATATATTCTATTGTATCTTTATATATGTAATAAGAATTTCCAAATATTAATACTTATCTTTTTATGAATTTGTAAAACAAAGTTTAATTTACTAACAAATGTTTGCCTAATTGATAAAAATTTAGTACATAATTTATAAATTTCATTATCAATATGAAGATCTTGTTAGTGAGTAATCTATAAATATTTTTATAAGCACTGTATACCTTAACCGTAAGCCTCCAACATCAAGTCTTAAAACATTTAATTATTATTAGTATGAATCAGGGATTCTAGGAGAGAACGGATTTAAGTTATTATTAGTATGAATCAGGGATTCTAGGAGAGAACGGAAGCTAAATGAAGTTGGCATTCCACTACTTTGCTTGTCAAATACGCGCGCATCGGGCAGATAACTTCTGCTAAATTATCATTATTTCAAAAAAAAATTCACAAATCATACTTTAATTGATAAGTTTTATTTTATATCAAATTTCAAAAACTGTGAGTCGCTCTGCCATGAACATGAAAAGAAAACTAAACTCGACGTTACAATACATCACATTTTGATCCCTCACCATGAAGCTATCTCGCTTTGCATATAAAGAATCATAAAGCTTGATGTGATTAATATATATATATATATATATATATCATAAAGGTGAACAGCAATCACCCATCTTATAGAGTCAAGTGGTGTTCGTGCCAATGTAGGAAGGAAAAAGAATGCCAGAAGATAAACAAATTTAGAACATAATAATAATAACAACAACAGATAGAATCAAAAAACTGTACAGCAATCACCTATCTTGAAAAAAGAGAAGACAAGCTCAAGTTCAAAGATATACAATGTGCCAACTCTATTTCTTGCAGCCGATAAAAAGGAGCGAAGCATGAATCCATGCCAATCACTTTACCTCTGTTCATGTGGAATGAGAAGAAGATGATCTGGTCCCAGAAGTTCCAACCCCATGTAAAGATTCATTCGTACTTCTTACATGCTGTTTAGGGACATTGCTGCTGCTGCTGCTATTGCTTGAGCCACCTGTATCACTGCAATCCTGAAGCTGTTCCAATGCTCCAACCACATCGGCCATGGTCGGTCTGAATCTCGGTTCTACAGAAAGGCATTGGATCGCGATTTTTGCTAGTTTCATGGCCTCACGCACCAGGTACTGGCCTTCGATACGAGCATCCATAACTTGGAAAATCCGGCGCTTGCTTGAAAGGTATGGCTTGGCCCATTCAACCAAATTCTGTTCCCTGCCTGGCCTGTTTCTGTCCAGTGCACGTTTGCCGGACATGATTTCAAGCAGAACAACCCCGAAAGTGTATACATCACTCTTCTTGGTTAGGTGACCTTCAAAAAGGGCAATGGAGAAGGATCAGCAATGATATTGTGGGCAAAGATTATTTCAACTCAAGTGTGAATTATCAAGTGAAAGCCTATAAATAAAGGAGCTCCCAATAAAGTGAAGTGAACTAGGGAGCAACAGCACAGAACTCAGAGAACTGGTTCTCAAATGTCAACGCAGAACCAATGTGGCCACACAATATCCAGCTGAAACAGACCCCACAACCCACACAATGCATTGGTCATAATGAAATTGCATAGCTATGGTACACTATATTTCAGGGTTGCTCATAAATTTCTTTCAGCAAACAGATTAACAAGGTTAAAAATCAATAATATAGTGGGCAAACAAGGGAGGAGGGAAATGTTTTGACGTGTTTAACATTAGATAGTTCGCTTTCTGGTCTTGATTTGCAATGTAGAGCTTGTGAAAAGTAGATCAAGTTACAGCTCACATGGATAGCTAACTAATTAGGCAGATAGTTTGAAAGATAGTCGCTGAAAGAACCCCTGTTCAGGAAATTAGTGTCCTAAGAGTTAACTCCGTAGAAAGTAGGCTTCGTGAAGTGAGTCACACTTATCACAAATTAAAAATAGTCACACTACTACAAATGGAAGTTGGATCTAGATGAAGGGACTAATCCCTCACATCGTGGAGAACCAAAGTTCAAATCTCCATTGGAAGAGGTATCCGCATTTAGTATCCAACCGTGTTTTGAATAGGATTGCTTCCAATAGGAGGATATCTATGAGTAATAAAAAAGGAGTTACGCCATTGACTATACAAGAAGCTAGCAGAAATCAGCACAAAATAACAATAAAAACAAGCCTTATCCCAATACAAAAGAGTAAGAAAAATGTTTGCAGTATTCAGGGGGCAAAGAAGCTCCCACATGAACACTAAAATTCTACCTCTCCTGCTCTGACCCCCTCTTTATATCTCCTAGTCTAACCTAGCTTCCATGAGTTCCCTACACAAGTCCCGCACTCATCATCATATTTCCCAGGCAATTATCTAACCAAGCCAATGTTTGGTGGCCAATTCAGAACAAAAAGTTAGCATCATAACTGATTTTGGATGCTATTAGAAGATACATCAACCCTTTTGGTATCCAGTGAATTATATGTTTAATCTTTTTATTCCACCCTTTCCAAAGGAGGAAAGAAACTGATATTCCCAATGAGAAGTTGACAAAGGTGATACGCAATAGATGAAGGTTGTTATGGGAAATGAAATGCTATATATCAAATGAAGAACAGTAACAACAGAGACAAGATTACATGCAAACAATAGGATATGACCATTTAAAGTGATCATGATCTAAGAATTACTCTTCAGTTTGAAAGATACCTGTGGCCATATACTCAGGAGCAGCATAGCCATAGGTGCCCATGACCCTGGTAGAGACATGGCTCTTATCATCTGATGGTCCGTCCTTTGCCAATCCAAAATCAGATAGCTTTGCATTGAAGTTCTGATGACAACAAAATGGGATGTTAGAATAGCTAGTCCAGCTAACAACTTCTAATCTTGTAAGTTCAGTGGGATTTACATACTGAATCAAGCAAGATATTAGATGCTTTTAGGTCTCGATATATCACTTTTACTCCGTCACTATGAAGAAATGCAAGACCCTTTGCAGCATCAAGGGCAATTTTCATGCGGTTGCTCCAAGAAAGGGGTTCAACATGAGATGTCCCTATTCCAAAAACAATAGGTAGTTGAAAGTTTGAGTCTCTAAGCACTAAATATTGTCATCCCAAATATAAACTTGAAATAGTAGTAATGGAAGGAAAATTATCAACTCACTTCGAAATAAATGATTATCCAAGCTGCCTTTGGTCAAAAACTCATATACCAGAAGCCGGTGGTCATCCTCTAAGCAGTAACCAATCAATTTCACAAGGTTAGGATGATGCAGCTGTCCCAGAAAATTGATCTCTGTCTAAAGCACAAGACTAATTAGTGACAATATCAAACAATAAAAGGCATCTAAAATATTATCTATTTCCAATAGAAATTACCAAAAGCTATTAATATGACAATTTTCTGCCATGCCTAAATTCTATGCTTTCAAGCAAATTTCTTTTTGTAAACAAGCCCTGTCAACCACTAAGTGACACTCACCAACCATTCATTGTGTCCCTGGCAGCCTTCTTGGTTAAGCTTCTTCACAGCAATGACAATCCCAGTCCCTGGTTTAGCTGGAGCAAGTGTCTGTTCATCAACCCACCCCTTAAATACGCCTCCAAACCCACCTTCGCCCACCATACTGTCCGGACGAAAGTTCCTTGTAGCTGTTTTTAGCTCATTATATGCGAAATTTTTCAAATTGGAGGACTGCAAGATCTCACCCTCTGTTCGAGGAGTCGGAGGCACAGAGGAAGTGGAGAACTTGCTGCTTCCACCAATCAAACCATCCTCTTCTTTGCTGTCATGGCTTGAGTTCCTATCTGCACATTCAAATTAAGAGACCCACTTTTCAGGACATCTAAAAGAACTCTAATTACAAATTAAGCTTCTGATTGCATGGGAACACCCTAGACATAGGTTATGATGCATTGTTTAGCTATCAAAGGAGCCTGAAGGTACCGGAACTTCGAATATAGAAAGTAAGCTATACGGAAATGAGAGAAACTTGTTAAACACTTCCCATGCATCCCATGGTTGAAGGATTCATTTCATGACTAAAAGACAGAACAGAAACAGACCCTTTTCTCTTCCAAGCCACCAAAAAAAAAAAAAACAAAACAAAACAAAACAAAAGAACCCATAATTTACAGACGCAAATAAACTAGCTGGAGCATTGTAGCATATGACTATGTTAAACGAATGAACACCGAATTTCAACAACCCAAGCCAAATCAAGCTCAGAAAGCACCAAACAAGCTGATGAAGCAAAACATTATTTGAGGAAGCGGGGAAGAAGAACAGCAATGTTACCCTTGCGTGGAGGGCTTTCAGCTTTGATCTTCGCACTGAAGCAGCAACCCATTACAACAAACAAACCTCAGAACCCAGAATAGGTTGTCGCTATTTTTAGTGAACCCACCACCAGTTTGAGCGGAGAAAGAATCGAAAACCCTCTGATATCAATGAGAAAGAGGCACTGGTGAAAATGGAAAAGCAGACATAACAAGTATGAAAGGGAGGGTTTATTTTCACATGTGAGTTAGCTGTCAACCGCGGAGACTTGATCCTCAAAATATAAGTAATGAATGCACGAAGCTTGAATGGGTAAAGTGAAGGTGTGAACGAGGGAGAGAAAAGGAATTGCAAGGAAAGATCATAAATTTAGACCATCGAGAAGGACAAAATGCAGTGGGCGTTGACCGAGCTGTCACTCTGGTTTTACAATTCGTTAACGAGAGCAAGTGGAAGGAGACTCGGAAATTGCCTTCATTTCATTCCACGCTCCGACTCTGAACCTTATCCTTCTCTTTGTCCAATCCCATCCTCGCACTCGGCGACCCGTGGCCCCCAGCCGTTTGATTAAGTGAGAATCACATCCCAATACATTTAAGTAATATCAGTTAAGTCTTTAAAAAAATTTAAAACAAAATAAATTAAAAATATTGATGTAAATTATTACAAACTCATAAATTTTAATTACAAGTAAGTATTTAAATATCAAACACAACTTTTATGTTATAATAAAAAAATTTATTTATAACTATTTAAATTAATATTTTAATTTATTTTGTAAAAATTTTTATTAAAAATCTAATTATTATTAATTCATTCCTTTAAAATTTAATTTTCATTTTTTCCTCGACTAAAGATGAGAGATGGTAATTATCTACTACTCCTTCCCATCCATTTATAAGATTCGATATTTTAAAATATGAGATGTTTTTGATAACAAAAAGTTATTAAATATAATTGTTTTAATATCATTTTTTGGTTATATTTTTTCTCTATTTAATGTTTTATATCAAAAGAAGCATATTTTTTAAAATTTTTATTTTTATTTTTTAAAAAATTAAATTTGTAAAGTATATTTAATTAATTTTATTAGAATGTGTAATTTTTTTTAAAATATCTTATAAATTGAAACATGATTGTATTTAAGAATCTAAGTATTCAAGTAATTAGTAATAATAATTTTAAAATTTTAAGATGATAAAATAAAATACTATCATTTACTATATTAGAGTATTTTATAGTAGTATTTTAAGAAGTATGAACACTAATGTTAAGTTAAGTGCGTTAATTTTAATTTTTTTATAACTATAAGGAAATTGATTTTGAAAATTCTATTGAATTATAATTAATGCAAATAAAAATTCTTAATTACTCTTTTCCTTTAGATTGAACCCTTTCTTGAGAGAACAAAAGGTTACATCGAGTTTGGCATTACATTGCTTTGCTCGTCAAATTTAACGCCGCTTGAAGTGCCGACTATTAAAACCGTCTTGTTAGTAATTGGTAGGTGACGGTGCATATACAAACAAACACACGCCAATACATTCCATCCATATTTTTTATTTATCTCATCTTATACTTTTTTGTATCAAATATAGTATAGACAATTAGACATATACTATTTTTTTTGATTTATGTATTATATAAAATTTAAACATAAATATAGGTATTATTTTTTTTATAGTTGATACTGATTACTGGTAATTCCTCATTTCCTTGTCTAATTAAGCTGCGAAGTTTTTTTAAAAAAAATCAGGTAAAAAAAATAAAAAAAAAATCATGGTAGAGTGACTCTGTTTGGTACGTCATGATTAGTTAGGAGAAAATAATTGATGAAACTTGGCTAGAAAATAGACAGCCAAAAAGTCAGCGTAGACGACAGTATATGCTCAATTAAATAAATGAGGAAAGTTGATCGTTTGCTTGGAAAAATTAAGAGAACAGTCAAATGCAAACAAAAGAGTTTTGGATTTTCTTTTCTTTGAAAACTCACAGAGACGGAAACCTGTTTGACATTTGAAGCCAAGGCATCATCATTATTCATAATTTTGTTGTATTATTATTATGTCAATTTGCAATATACCACATGATCCCTTTTTTATTGCGTACTAGCGGATCATAAAATAATATGAAGCCACTGAAGAAAACAGTTTCGTCCGTGAATGGAAGCACCTAAATATTATAGTCAGCTTGAATATATATATATATATATATATTTTGCTCCATTGACTTTGACTCTTATATTTGCCAAGCCTAATAATTTCTAAAAAAAAATTAAAATAATAGCTTGCTTGGAAGTTGGAACTCTAGTCACTCGTTCCTAAATTCATGCCTTAAACTGTCTAACATTTTCTTTTTTTTTTTTTTTGTGAAATTGAAATATTCCTATACATTTATTTTCATGCTGATGAAATTTGTAAATTTTGTTTTATCCAAAAAGATAATTTCTTTGTAAGCGACTTGCATATAAAATAGATGTCGATTTTTTGTTTTACTCTGACGCATTATTTTAAACTCTACCTTTTGACTCTCTTTAACAATTTATATTATATTGGGTGAAACAATATTTCATATTTTATATCAATTATTTTGAAAATAAAAGACATCAAACATCGCTGAAATTTGTTGATATTGACAGAAACAAATTCCCTGAGGTTGAGATCCCTGAATTTCTGTGACTTTTTTGTTGTTGATATTCTTGATATTTTATTATTTTTATAAAACATAAAATCTTCTTTTTCTTTATTAAAAAGGCAAACTCCATGAAATTTACAGATTTTCAAGTTCAAAAAATTAATTCCCAGTTTTAGCATGTAGTTAGAAAGCAAAATAAAAAGGACAACATTAACATCAGCTATTATTATTGCTATTACTATTATTATGACAACATTAACATATGTCATACTACTAATTTATGAAGTCTCGGCACCTCTTACATTTTTAAATTAAATAAAAAAAAGCAAAACTTCAGTGACATTACATTATTATTAATTGACAAATTGAAGCTTAAACTATTCAAAATTCATAAACCAATAGTGAGAGTCTATCCACCACTGGTTGGTGGGAGGATGTAATACATGAAGAAAGGAAGTCAGCATTAGATCTAATCACTTCATTGACTGTCCCTTGCACTGAAGGAAGTCAGCGTTACAAAGTTTCTGTATTTTTTTTTTTTTACTGTGACCGTTAACGTGGACTATGTAACTTCTAAAATTTCGTTTTGTCTTCGTGACCTTGCGCCAACTCAACTTAGGACCTTCTCTTCTGTGATGCCGAGAATTTCAGCACTTCCACTGTTGTACATTATAAAATGTACTCCCAAATCCCATATGTCAGCCACCATGATTATTTATTAGAGCTCACTTCATCAATTGGACCCAGGAAAATAAAAAACCAAAGAAATGCTGATGCAGTGCACAGAAACTTAATTTAGTCGTTGGGTAAAACAATAAATTGTCTGGCAACCCTGCCTACTTTTTACCAACCTTCCAAAAGGAAAATTCAACTTCCAGTTAATTCACTTTGAATTGTGACAGTGAGCAAGGCACACATTTTCAAAATTAGATCAAACCATGTAAGCCTTTGTATCATCTAAGTCAAGAGCCTACTAAAAACCATTTTCCCGAATCAGCAGCAAAACTAATAACAAGCCCCATTTTACTAGGTGAGAATGACTATGTGGATCCTAAAATTTCATTGTGCTCTATTATCCACTAACTCTTTAGATATACTGAGCAGAATACTAAAATGCTTCGTTTATAATAACTTGTTATCGTGTTCTACCCTACAATGTAAAATTTAGGAACTTCCCAAAGCCACGACAGCAGCTTTGGACAAATTCCATGAAATTCTCAAAATATTCATAATTAACTCTAAAATACTCGTACGTTTGTGTGTGTAATATATATACTTTCTACACTGCGGGGGCTTCATCATCCAACATCTCCACTACAGGAGCATACTGCAAAATGTATAGTGAGTAAGGTCCATGTAGAAGTATACAGATTGCAAGGCCAAGAGAGTAAAATATTGAATCCACTGACCTCGTCATTCTCTTCAAAATATATCCCACCAACGGCACTGTTCTGCTGAAACTCCCAACCCAAGCTGCTCTCCAGCAGCTCCTTGAATTTCCTTGTCTGCAATGAGTGAAAAAAGTCAACAGTTTTTTTCTTCATGATAATCAGTCAACACACTGCAGCCAAAAGAACAAGTTGTAATAAATTTCAGAGCAGACAAAAGAGTACAGATCTACAGACGGGTCCTTATGCAATTATTCTGGTCATCATAACTACCAATACCTGCCATCAATGGCCATGATTCAACGCGGTTGACTGCCACCATTAAGTTACAACAAATATCATTTATTGCAGCTTTTGCCCAAGCTAAGTCATAGTTTTGACATTTTCTTATTGCATACGCGATTTTGCCTTTTAATCTTAATTATACGCATGTCAACTAAACACTTATTTAATAACAGGAATATCATGGCATCATGACTTCTTTTCTTTGAGGGTACGTAGGAGACACATGTATCTAGGCAGTCAACTAGTTCTTTTCACCTCCAGTTGCCAGATGGGCCAAATCTATTCCTGTTGTGCTGACTAGTGCATGATACATTTCAGGCACATCAAAAGAGAAAGAAATTGCTATTTCATCTTCTTTCGATCCTCCAGTTCCAGTAATATTTCAATTCCTAATTATAATTCTCTTTCTTCGGAGCGAAGGAGCAGAAGATATATCAGTATACTGAAGACAAGATCAGAGCTCATACCCATGACAGAAGATCTCCATCAACAACAGAGGCATCTTGAATCAGAGAATAGAAATCCTGGAAATAAAAAATGCCACAAGTCATCGAATGCCACAAACTCACTAAGCTGAATCTAACTATTTGGACGCTAAACTGAAATTAAGATTCAATCAATATTAGCTAAAACAGCCAAAATTTGGCCAATGATCACAAGGGTCAAGGCATTGAAATTGAAAACAATCAAACATATTATAGGAAGGACAACTGAACAATAATGCATAGCCTAGGCAGACCTCCCTTGACTAGCATTTGAGACATTTAAATTTCCATTAAATCTTCTTCATTTTGTGTGTGTTAGTCCAGACTTCTGACAAATCCTAAAAGACAAAACATTACATAATAGATGCGCGTGCGCAGTCACGCATTTCTAGCTAGGAAAAATGCAGTCTAAGACACTTTGAAAGATTAGATTACCAATCCAACAGAGTTAAGCGGGAGAGGAAAAAATAATCAGAAGAGCCAACCTGCTTGTGTTACAATAAGTGTGCTAGATAACAGAACGATACAAATCTAAGAATTTAAATATTGAGTTCATAACATCAACAAACTACCTTACAAAGATGGTGCAGAAAGCTATCAGCAGAAAACCAAGAATCATCCAGTAATGCTGTCCCTGTTTCATCAGGGCAATCCTTCTGTAGTCCATATTTTAGTTGATAGTAGATGACCTTTATGAACTATGAGAATCCATAAAATTCCCAAATTTCAGTTAAATGAAGGGGGAAAAGGCGAACAAAAGATGAAAGCATTGTAGGCTGCAAATCAACAAGTATATCAAATAGACAATTATTTTACAAGCAACCACAGCAAAACATAAAGATCCAACTCAGTTATATTCAATATGGTAATATGTTAATTAAACACCAAAGATTTTAGAAGAAGATATCAAACTGTGCAATACATTAAACTCCTGGACAGCATAAATGTAGTTAAGAAATTCAGATAATTCATGGCTCCTCAGCAATTGTTCACATGTTCGTACTCTAAGAATTATTTCACCCAATTTTCTTATTTTTGTTAACTTCTGTCTATATGCATACAATACCCTGATTCAATCCACAGCAGATATGATAGATGGAAATTCTTTCTCTGATTCTAGGACTGGGTATGGCAATATACAACTCATTTCTTCTTCCTAGCCACCATCACCTAACCAGCCTTGTCAGGCAAAAAAATAAAATGAAATAAAAAATATAACTCAAAAGTCCTGATTTAGCATCATAAAGGAATTTGATAATAGTCACAAGATTTTTTACTTATTCCATTAATCCAAATTCAGCAGCCTTATGTTCCTAGGCGGCATTCTGAGCAAACAGAATTGAAAATTGTCAATTTAACAATATTCAAAGTAATATTTTTATTGTTTGTACTTAATAGGAACCAAGACAATATAAGAAGCCTAAGTCCTGCATTGAGTTATGCTATTTGGGATACTTAAGTAATTGGCTAATATGGGGAGGGTTTCCCAAGCAGAAGCCTATCACTATCTTAATGAATAAAATGCCAGTTCCAAGGTTTACCTTTGTGAACAGTTGACTCCGCGTATGGAAGGGCTGCAAAAGATTAGACAATGTCATAGACAAAAATAAACATGTGTGTCTATATATATATATATATATATAAAAACCATTCAATAACACAATTTCAAGCTCATTTGATCCCATTGTGATCCCATGCTATAATTTTCACATGTGCCATGCCACCTAAAACCACAGCCTACCAACAAAATGTCCTAGGAAAGAAGAAAAATCTGTCCTGTGAAGTAATATGAGAAAATTTCAATGCAGAGACAGAATAAAGAATATTACCATGTTTCAGATGTTAAAATGGATATAGAAGCCCCATTTTAATATGTGAAGTTCTTTTGCTGTGCCAGGTGTAAGCTTGTATGCTGCTCAAATAAGCTTCAATTTTCATATACTTCATATCAATTTAATATGATAAGTTCCTTTCCCTAAAGGCAAAGGGCTTTATAAACCTTCAATGTAGCTCCCACTCACAAGAACCATATGTTTTGACTCAGCCAAAATACACAGGCTATCTTCTCAACTTAGCTTTCAGAAAAGGTTCAGAGCCCTTTTCAGTTTTGCAAGGTAAACATGCAGAATATTCTTTCAAAGAACTATCCAGACATAGCAAAAATGAATTCTAACAACAACAACAAAAATGAGTTCTAAGCATGCCTCAAAGAATCAATTGACTTATCGGTTAAGCTGTCCTGTTAAGCAAGAGCCCTGAGATTGATTTTATTATTCTATCAACTTGAATAGTATGGAAGACATTATTTTGCAGCACCTTCAGTTCAGTCTTCTAACTTTCTATCTTTGATAAGAAACAAGCATAGACATGAAACCTAATATTCGAAAGCTCATTAAAAAAGTAAAGTCCATGCACACATCATTCAATTCGAATATGACTAAAACTCTATACTCACTGCTTCAGTACAGCCTAAAAAAAGGCTAACCAAAGATTTCCACTGGAGAAATGCTTCAAGTGATTGTCCCATCTGCACATTTACCAAATATCATATTTTTGGCCAAATATGGTAACTAATTTAGCAAGAAATCATGTTTCATCTGCAATACCAAGAAGGCAACAAATGCAAACTGCAGTTCTCCAAGAAGCAAGTCTTCAGAACCTCCATAATCTTTTTCCAGCAGAGTTTCTAACAATTGTGTCTGAATAGAAAAACAAAGAGAATGCACATAAATTGGAGAACAAAGGGCTGGAATGTTGTATTAAGGTTACATGCTAAACCAATACCAGCACACAATTTTCTTTTCGAGATTAAGTATTCAATAATATGTACAAGAAATACCTTGTCAAGATTCACAGAAGTAAGTTCCTGTCCATGCATCCCTTTACGCTTTATAACACTGGGAACAGAGGTATAGTAGCATCCTTTCCTCTGAGACTTGTCAACTGACGTTGCAAACTTACTAGCCTTAAGTTGCTTGTCTAGTGCCTTCTCCATTGGCGTTTTTGACGTGTTTCCAACTATCCCACTCTCATATACAACAGTGATTTCCCCTCCAATGGGCTCTACCCAAAAAGTCTATCAGTTTAAAAAATTGAATATTGTGCAAAATACGAAATCAGAAGAATGGCCACTCCAACATCAGTGAACCATTTTAATACAAAGAGCAAATAGCATATGAGAGTGCATGGACCAAGGTGAACCATCAGTGAACCATTGCAGATAAACAAACAGCATACCTAGCCGTTCTATGACACTCTTCGTAACAAAATTAGATAATCGCTTCCAGCCAACATGATTAGTAAGATTGTATGGCCCAAGATGTCTGTCAAACTCCAAACTTTTAACTGCTTGACAGTATCTTTCCTCCTAGGAAAAGGTGGAGAAAAATAAATATCATATGATTCAAAGAATTCAACACACAGGAAACAATATGTTGGATTTATATTATACATGAATTACATCTCCATGTTTGCAAAGATATCTGATTTTTCTCCTGCCCCCTAAGGCCCTTTGGCAATCCAAATAAGGATCTCATTTATACAAAATCAAAGAACAAATATGACAGGAGTCAATTACCTTGTCCGCAAAAAAATTGTTTATTGAGATGGTAAAAAAAAAAAGTTTTTTGGACAATAAAAGAAATATAAAAATAAAATTGAGCAATTGCCAAAAGCAAAGGATAACAAGAAAATGCAATTAAGAAGGAGGAATGGCAGTTAAGTTCCAAAAGTTCATTTTAATTACAGTTAGGTTCCCAAAAAATTTCTGAAGAATAAGTTGCAAATATGTGAGTATCAGCCGCAGAATGCCTAACTTGCAACTGAGAATCTCATATTTACAACTATTTGAATTAATATTTTCAATTCACTTTTCAGCAAAAAAATTTAGGGCCTAACTATCATTTGATTGAACTTTTGGGACCTAAGTGGCATTTCCCCAATTAAGAATCAAGCTAAAAAATTAATCCCTCTACTAATTATCGACTAGCACAACTCTCCCGATAAACCTCTGACCCAAACACAAAGCAAGATGAACTGTTCTATCACATAAAAGAAGAGGAATGTCATTCTAACTTTGTAAAGATTCTGGAGTTCATACTCATAAACCAAATAATTGTAGACAGCGCACATTGCCACAATAATTTACTTCCCAAACCACATTGTTACATTAAGCAATCATAGTCTCTCACTTATGAACAGAATCAAAGGCATCCTTCATGAAATGGGATTCTAGTTATCTGGAGGTCATACTTATACACCATATAATTATATCGGTGCATAGTTTTTCCTAATATTGTCTTAGAATGGTCTAAATTGACTGAGAGATCATATCATACTATGCAGGAAAACAAGATCATTATATATCATTATATTTATATCCTTCATGCATATAAAATTAGACAAAGTATATATATATATATATATATATAAAACTTAAGGAACACATACCTCTTCCTCAGACATTTTTATTAGCCTTTCCTCTTGTTGATCCCATTTTCGAATAATTACCTGTGTAGCCAAATTACATGAGAAAATACAGTTTTAAAAACTTTCGAGATATTTCAATTACACAATGCCATGCATTATATTTCCTCCCTTTATGATGTCCATTCAAAAATGGGTTCAAGTCTTCAGCCAGAAAGCCTGACTCCTACCAATCCATTTCAGGTGCTGAGTATCATTAGGAGTGTAGGACTAATGCAAGAACCGTAAAATTTATTCAGAGATGAGAATTTAGTGAGAAAAGATTATGACAGCTTCAAGGCATTAGGACAACTTCTAACTTTATAAACAGGAAAAATGCTATTCACTTTGCCTTCTTTCTAGATTATCTCCTAAGATTTTATTCACAAAGTAAAATATAAAATCATTTTACTTTTGCAAAATTCTTCAGTCTTTTGCATGTCAAAGTTTTCCTTTCTATGGTGGATTCAAGACAATTCTGAATGAGATTTTAAAAGGCAAAGACGTTACTCATTATGAAACAAACTCCCCCTCCCCCAACACCACAGCACAACTATCTTTCATTAAAATTGAATGCTTATCTGAAACTAAACATAACATTAATGAATGACACCAGAGACAGTTTCTGAAAAGGATTTTCGTTGGATCTAAGGATCATTCTATTCCAGCATGAGGGAATTAAAAGATAATAAATCTCAGGGATGACTATAGACATTGATGTTCAAGATTCTCAAGGCGGCATCAATAAAGATTCTAATAACCATGGTTTAAAGGAAATTCTAAGGCATTACTCATCCCTTCCCGAGTCTACAGCCATGCTTGACTTGTGAAATTTTAAGTGGGGGAAAATCAATTACAACATTAAGATATAGTAACCATCTTGGTATTTAAGTGGATGATTTGACTAAAGAGAAAAATTTTCAAACCTCTGAAGGACCAACATCAACAAAGAACCCAATTATTGGTGCGAACTCCTTGCCATCCCTGTGAAAATAAAAATAAAATGTCAAATGAAAAGATGTACCAAATTAATTGACGCATAAAATGGATAGAAGTATTGAAATACAGGAAGCATTGGCAGAAAGTATCAATAGTTCTATCACCAACATGCATTGTTGTATAACACCTCTTATTTTATGATCTGCAAAACAAAATAATACTGAGGCCTTAAACCAGAGTAATTGTTTCCAATGATATTGCCTGATTACTTCTCAGTAATATTACCATGGTATACAAAATTGAAAAGATGTTGAAGATCTGACTTTTGCTATGGATTAAAATACACAAATACCAATTCTCACGTTTTCTTTTCTTTTCTTCTTTTTTCTTGAGAGGCATAGAATAATGTCCTTGCCACTTGCCACCAATAACCTATTACTGTCTTGAACCCCTCCCACTTCATATATTGGTACCAATATATATTGTTCCATTCTGACATCTTTTCTATGCTTATTGCACTCATACAAAAAGTAAAGGTTAATTTCTTTAAGGAAGAGTTAGAGATGGATGATATGAAGCACGATTTTACCTGCTTGAAGAACTATAATAGACAAAATGAGGACCAGGAGGGATCATCTTAATCCCTTTAAAAGAAGGTCCCACAGAGAACATCTGCCAAAAGGAATTTTAATGTCACGTGTCAGACGAAGTTGGAATCAACAAGAAAGTTTTTTCCCTTTATCAAGATGGCTACACTCAATTTCCAAAAACAAAGATTTAAAAAAAAAAGAAAGAAAGAAAGAAAAAAGAAGAAAAACTACATGCACCGAGAGAAATTTGAAGGATAACCTCTACGCTACCTGACAAAAATCAAATCAAATTTCCACCTCAATTCTCCCTATTTATGGTTTTCTGTAATCTACAAGCTTTGACAAGCCAACAGAAATGAAATTTGCAGTATTAAATTTAGGTTCTGTAGTATACTGTTCGCTCCAGCATAAACAAAACATCATGGGCAACTAAACACAAAGGATATACATTTGTAAATTAAGACTATGAAAAGTAAACTCACTGACAATGGGAGAAGCAATTAAGCATACTTCAAGACCAGTCAGGGAAATGATAGCAAATAGTATTCTTGTACATATCGAGCTTACTAATTGATAGACCAAATGCAATGAAAGCTCCAACTATCCCGTTTGACCAAAAAGGTATTAAGAGAAAATGTTAATAATTCACTTGCCTGAGTATCGATTCCGACAAGGGTATACTGAGGAACATCGAGGAGGAGGAGAGTGACACCGTGCTTCACAAGTTCTAACGCAGTCTCAGGATCCATGTCTCCAACTTTAAAGCTTCGGTTTGCAGTTCGTGTTCTGTATTGAAACGGAAGAAGAGGGACAGTGCAAGGTTTTCCTGACTTTGCCAAAAGTTCCCGAGTTCTGAACCTCCTTGAGCCTTCAAACTGCGTGTCCAACGAAGAAATTATGTTATAGAGAAGGAGAAAAAAATTCCATTATACTGCTCATAAAAAAATTCCATTTTGCTTCCGATTGATTTTTTATTTACTTTTCATAAGGAGAGAAATTAAACAAGTTTTTACCTCCCAAAAATTTCTTTAACATTTTTAATTCAATCTGTTTTATCAAATTTTTATCCATAAATTATCAAGTTTTTTTAGCAATAATCAAATGCATGTAATACTCTGATTAAAAAATTTATATTTATATTATATTATTAGACTATCAATATAAAACTTAAGATTAAAACTTAATTTTATCCTTATATTTATTTTTAAAAGACGTTGAGTATTATATATTAATAAATGAAATAATTTTTTTAAATTATTTTTTTAAAGAAACAAAATTATCCTTTTATTTGTCAATCGTTTAATCTCTCATTTTGTGCTGGCGTGTCATGAGACAAGACCCATTACTTTCTGACTTGGCATCCAATTTATAAGCCTTGGTCCTCAGACATGGCATCTTATTTTTTGACCCATTTATTTAGAATTGGGCAAACTGCTCCAAACGCCGTTCGAATCCTGACCTTAGTAGGAACTCTCATACATGGCCGATGGCAAGGGTTGGAGGCCAGAGTCATCTGTAGAAGTAGGATAAGTTCAAAGCCTTTCTTCATACAATTTTTCTAAAAGTAAAAAAACTCTAGCCTTTTTCATGTAAATATTTCTAAGTTGTCGTTGTCGTAGTAGCTAAAGGAGCTATTTGATCAATAATTCAACCCACAGTGTTCAAATTATCCAAACCACTTCAAATTATAGAGCTAATTGGTTTTTTCAATAGATTTCCGAGTTACCGAACAACATTGCACAATCCAAAAGCTAGAAAAAGAAAATTTATGAAGAGAAGCAGAAGTAACTAACAGCAGGGAAACGAGAATCAAGCTTCTTCCTCATAGGATCAAACTCATGGCAACAAATTAGAACCAAGGGATGAGAGAGAAAATGGAACCCACAACAGGAGATTATCAGAAGTTCATAACACTATTATTGCTACCATCATTCGAAACCCACGGACAAAGTTGCAGTCATGAGGAGGCAGATCGATGAGGGTGTAGGAGATGAGAAGACGAAGACGAAGACTTGGGATTTTTGAGTGGAAGCTGGATTTGGAGCTCGGCGAGAAGACGAAGAATTGAAGAAGCAGCAGCAAATGACATCATGAACAAACTTGGAGGAAACCACAGAGGAAGGACGAGCTTGGAGTCTGAAGCTCTAGAATTGTGAATGATAAGCGAGGAGCAGTGTGGAATCGTGAGTTCAGCTGAGGGAGGAGATGAAGGAGCCGCATGGAGGAGAGGAACTGAATGGTAAGGAGGAGGATAGTGGGGAGGAGAAGGAGGATACCTAGGGGCTAAGGTGCTCGGAGATGGCTTCAGTGACGACCTCGTCGGCTCGCCTTGAGGAGAATGAAGAAGTCAAATAGTCAAGACCGGCGAGGGACTTTGCCATCATTGCGTGGGTGCACAACCCCTCCACATAAGCAACTAATGATAAAGATAACAGATTTGTAATAGAAGGGCATTTTTTATTGTCGAAAAATTAATTCAAGAAAAAAAAATTATTTCACTTAAAATTAATAGCATAAGATACCAAACACTCTTAAAAAATAAATAAAAAAATAATATTAAACCTTAATTCTAAAAATATGAAGTTTGTTCGAAATTGTACTTTCTGCAAGACATAAATTAGTGCTTCTTTTATCATGCTTTGTACAGCCTTTTGAAAGAAAGAAAGGAAAGAAAAGAAAGTCGTTCAGTTAGATTTTTTTTCTTTCATACTTAGCAAGAACTAAATTTTAAAGGGAAATATTTTCAAAAAATATATAATATTATTGCCTCTCTTATGGCACTTAAAAGAAAATTTTTAATTTTAAATATATGTGATTCATGTTAAAAATAAAAAAAAAAGTTCAAGGTAACAGTCACTAACACATGCATCTTGATGAGTTTGTATAATACTATAGTCTCCAAAAAATAAGACGTATTGGTGGTTATAAATAATGCAATTTGTTATAAATTCCTTATTTTATATTAACATTACATTGACGAATTTGATAATGTTCATTTCTGTCCAGAAGAAACAACCGTTGCTAATGTTCCTCTTTCCTGTTCCTCTTATGGAGAAATCTTGGTCGATGTCAGAAAATGGGGGCACAAAAAATCACATAAAGTTAACTATTAACTAGTTTAATTAAAGATTAAAAAGAGTTATTAATTTGTCATTTGCATATCAAACGCATTATAAGGAGATGATTTCTGGATTTTCCCCCAGTATATGCACTGTCAAAGGAAGCAAAACTCCTAATAATAAAGATCTGAATCTCTCCAAAATACCTGCCCAACATATGCATTCCAAAAAAAGTTTAGGAATCCCCTTGATGGTTCTTCAAAGATGAAAAGACCGGGGCAAAGAAATGACTACAAATTAGTAGTTTATCTTTGGATGAGTTATTACGGGGAAAAAAAAAGGAATTTGGATGTTTGAGAGATGAACTTAATATTCAACTTCAAATTCCAATTTAATAGCATTTCCTGTTTACATACTATGTTATTGACATCTTCTAAGTCAGTCATATTGAGGGCTTGGATCAAGGAGGAAGAGAGGCGGTAAAACGCAAGGCGTGTCTGAGCAGGACCAATTGAATCTCTCATACTTCACTCACCCTTCCAGGACCCTCTCCGGTTAAAGAGAGGAACCAAGCTAGTCACTATATCACATGTAATAACTCGTTTTAACATTAATTATTACCAATCATATCAGCAGTTACCTGAATATTGTCACCTTAGCAGATGGTATAGTCTACCTTTTTATAGGCCTGCTTTGCTAAACATCGTCATAAATTTACTTCCTGTGTGTGTCTGATTAACAAATAAGAATGAACCATCTTTCCTTTTTATTATACCTTACAGTTTGAAGTTCTAGAAGAAGCAAAGATCACATATCCTGCACCAATGGCATCACAATTTTAACTGTATATTTCAGCTTTAAATAGGACTTTGGGGCTACGAATGTCATCCTGGCTTTGAATTAATCTGATCTCTAAACTAGTTGACTGAGGATTATGTCCAGCTCTTTGGTAATCATTGACCGTCCTCTGCAAAAGTGCCTGCATGATTTCGGGGTACAGAGAACATTAAGCTCCCATCATTCAGAAGTTTTGAAATCTCAGAAAGCCTAATTTCATGGCGTTGCAGGCCAGAAAATGTAGAACCGAGAAATTTGCAAAATGGCAAATTATGGAAAGCTCTCCATTTCTGTGGCAACGCCAGCGCAATATTGAGAGGGATGAATAACATCAATGATATGCATGAGAAAATAAAAAATAAAACAAATACCTGCAGGCTTGATACAGCAAGTTCTGCAGCCTTCTCAAGATTGTCTGGGTATTTCTAGAATGCAAAACGACATTTTCTATGAATATTATGGAATTACTAGACAATAAAAAATACAGCTAAAGCCAAAAAATAATGAGAATCGGAAGTACATTGCTCCAACCAAGAAGGAGAGCTGTCGTGAGATCCCCCGTTCCCTACAAACATAAAAGCATACCCAAGAAAAAAAAGTAAAGCTTCAGTTAGTGTATGGAGGCAACTCTAAACAGAATAAGATGTAGGAAAACCATATTCGTATAAATTTATGAATCAACATGATCTCACGTTCAATAAAGTTGCCATTTCTTTTTCTTGGAACAATCGTAGCACAGATTAAACAATAAATTTAAGGCAATGAACTATTCGTACAGTGAAATAAGCTGGAATTTTGGGAATCACGATCTTAAATTGCTTGGGAGGCTGTCCCTGTCACACAATCGTAATATGATCATAAGCCATTGCCACATGGAAGGCAGATAGGATTTTAGTAACTGAAAATATAAATATAAAATATAAAATTTATGAAAAGTCGTTGGAAAAAAATTGCATGACTGTCAAGATACAAGCAAACATAAGGTAATTATGAAAAGTAAACACTTTAAATAAACATAACTGCTCAAATATCAGGAATTAAAAATAAAATATTAGAATTAATAGAATCATGCATGATATAGACCTACCTTTTCTTTTTGATGGCTGCCTATCAGGAAGAGATTGCCGGCTATACTTATGCTAGTAATTACAACCTGAAGGTCAAGAGCACTTATATTGACATTCATTGTACACAAGTTACAGGTGACGTTAAGTAAAGACAAAAGTGAAACGCAAGAACACAAACATTTTCAGAGACAGGTTACTTCTACTGCTCAGAATTAACATATGTAACACAAATTTGAGCAACGTGTTTGTCTGTTGTTAAGAGAAAGATCAAGTAGAACTTTATTATAAAAAAAACTGAAACAGATCCAGCTTAGATAGCTACATTGCATCTTCAACAGGATTTCAATAAGTGAATATTCATTCCCTCTAAGCATGTGGCTTAAATTATGGCGAGTAGTCAATTTGCATCACAGCGAAAAGCATGAAACATTTGCAGCTGATTGGTTACAATGGATAGCCATATTAGAAGTTTATAACGATTAGAGAGATAAGCACCTTTCAGATAGACAATTCATAAAGGATGAATCAAGATCAGAACAAAAAGTCCAAGTCCAGAGGAGAAGAAAAGCATCCTAGAACAGAAATATTTCAGAGCGTGTGTGTGTGTGTGAGAGAGAGAGAGAGAGAGTAAAAATGTGAACATAGGATTCCCGCAGTGCAAATACAAATGCAAACCTTTGAAGGTCCAGCCTCATGAAGAAGGTTACAGGCTTTCCGGCCATCTGCTTCGGACTGAATCCTGTTAAAAAATAGGATGAATAGGCAATCTCCTTGATAAACCACAAAGGAGTAGGAAAAGCATGAACAATGTTGAAGAACTTAAATTATGTTTTGGCTCGGGAAATAAGGTTTCAATCACTTGTTAATTTTTTAATTAAATTAAAAAATATTTTAAACATAATGTGAAAAGAAAACCAGAAAATAATTAAATAAATAAATAAAGAACAAGATATCTTCCCAACCATTAATAAGAAAAGTAAACAAACTAAATTAAACCACTTGATTAGGATTGCCACATGCTTATAACCTTTGTTTTCTCATTGTTCTTTGGAACTTTTTTCAAGGTTTATCTCCAACAATCCTAAGTCTTCAAACTTAATATCTAAACAATGCTCCAAGTCAGGAGGGCAAACATGGTGCTCACTAAAGACAATTAACAGTATTCCAAATCCGCCACAAAACTTCAGTGATATTGAATAGTCATTTACGTCATGTTATTATACCATATAATAACATGACAAGCAAAGCACTATGCTACCAAGTACCAGCCACGCAATATACTAAAACTTAGAAGAGACTGAAAATAAGGAGCATATAAAACATGGGGAAAAAAAAAGAGTCAGGCAACCTTAGTTGTCATATGATTACCTGAACCCTGTCAACAGTTCAGCTTCAAATTGATTGGGAGTCAACATTGAAGCTACTGGAACAACCTAACAAAATGTGAGTTACTCAGATGCTAAAACAAGCAACGAGATTCTATATTAAGAATGGACCACATATCATCCACCCCCTTGCAGTCTCAAGATGGTGGATGATGAATGTATCAGGGGTATTACGCCAAGACGTGTAAGTGCACAGTTAATATATTCCCTTTTATCAGGGCCAAAAAAGATTACCATCTAAAAGTAAATTATGCAAATGCCATCTCATACATAGGACACAGAATCATGCAATAAAGCTGGATTTCAATTATTAGTGACTTGGGTCTGCACAGGGCAGCCAAAGAAGTGATAAAATATAATCTAACTCTTAATAATGAATATTATAATATTTGAACCCGCTTCCAGCAATATTTTGTGGATCAGTCTTACCTTCTCACGATAAACTGATACCAGCTCTTGAGGAACATAAAGCTTTCCTTCATCACCCATCACCGGATCACATACTGACAAGAAAATACAAACTTCAGAGAAGATACAGGTATACAAACTCTACTTTTCCAGGAGAAGTAAGATAAAGTAGAGCTCCTAAAAAGAATTGAAGACTGAAAAGAGCTTAATTGTCAACCTTGAGATTGAAAATAAAATTAAACAATACATGCCCTCTAGGGCATGAATTATTAGTTGAGACTACAAAAAAGCATGGTCCGTTTTTTTTATATAATTATTTGGTAGTCAGAACTATCAGGTTAAATTCAAGGATTTTCGATCTAAATGAAGGTAGCTTTTTAAAAAATGATTTTATTGAGCCCTTTATCAATTGATAAAGGCATGGTACTTCATTGATTGGTTATGATAGTAGTTCCACATCATCCCAGTCTGTTTTATACACACTTTCTTGATCCCTCAAGAGTCCAGTGTCTTGTGTCTTATTCGAATACCACTCAATATTTGTAAAATATGGTTTGAACTTAAAAATGAACTGGAATTCTCAAACAAGAAGGACACAGACTCTTCTTTCATTCACTTTATCATCTTTCACACAGGGGGTGTAACCCAGATGACACCAACATTTAGTAAAAGAATATTATTATACATTAAATATGTAATAATTTGCAATGTCAGAACCATCCATATCCTTTATAGTTTGTTTTTAACTACAGAAACTTGCTGCATGTGTTCAAATTAAATAATCTTACATCAAGGCCTTAGAACATACAATGTTATATCTTGTAGTTTGACAGAAGAGGGAACAAAGAGTTTCCATACAATGTTGTAATGCAGCTAGTAAGAGTTACATAAACATAAGAATATTAAACAATAATAACATGAGATATGCATGCCGAAGAACAATAATATGGATCACAAATTAGAAATTGTTGGTACACCGTACATGCAAATCATTGGTGCTGATTTTTTGAGAGACCACAGGTATGAAGTATGAACTTGGTCTTATATGTATTTATGCCATGCCCAGATTTCTTTGACTGACACAACAAAGATGCACTAAGGTTGAAACAGAACCAAACCAAAAATTGATGGTTTGATTTGGGAAGTCCTACAAGCCCTCTTGGTTTGAATTGAGTTTGGAAACATCAGAGCTCAGAACCAACAATTTTTTTTTTAGCAAAGGAACCAATTAATGTTTATTCAGAGCAAGGTTGAGCCTCAAACTGAAATCAACTCATGATTACCCTTGTGCTTCAATAATTTCAGAAATCTCACCATATGTAAGTTCAGGGTTTATTGTACGAAGCTTGCTGACAACTTCCAATATAGTGTTCAGGAAAGAAACTGAACCAATATAACCTGAAAATATATAAATTGAAACCAAAGTAGGGGGAAAACAAACAACAATGACAAGAACAACAACAACAAAATTGGTATGTTAGTGACAATGTCACGTAACCCATGACATAATAAGATAGAGCCTAAAGATCAGAGTTTCTAATACTGAAGCAGAGATTTTAGCAGAATAATTCAGTAACGCTTGACATAATATGACCTCATCTCTATGACAAGTGACTGGCCCAGAAGATTTCATCAAAAGCTACTGGAAAAAGGTCAGGTGACTCATCCTTCATTAGAAATACCCCCTTCCAAGGAGAATCTGCAATCTACCTCCCTTATTAATTCAAAGGTGCTCAGCTCCCTCATGGATAATATGGTCTCACAATTATGAGTAAAGCTTGTAACTGAATTTGCTGGAAACATGCTTTGGCTATTGGTTTAGGAATTTAGGATACGCCATAGTGCAGCATAATGATCTAGCTAATTGCTTTTATATACTGTGATGTTCTTAACATGTGCTGTCACAATGCTGATTTAAATTTCGTCAGAGGTAAGAAGAGTAGTATGCAGTTCACTATTAACAACACATATAGGAAACATCTTGACATACCAGTTAATAAGTGAGTGTAGAACAATAATTCATTTGCTTCAAGGCCTTCTATAATATCCCAGAGTTGCTGTCCATTCAAAACTTGACCCTTAAAAGTTGGATATCCTGCATGGTCCTTAAATCTATTAAACCAAAATTTCACTGTTACTTAAAATTATACCATGTCTGGACTTATTCAGATTGACAAATGTCATCGCACCATAAATCAGGTCTCAAAGAGTCAGAGTCTTGAGACTGAATGAAGAAATAGAAGCAGCTTGCCTGTGTGATTCGAAAACTGCACAGAGTTAATTGGGTCCACATCATAGCCCAAAAGTTGTAGCGGAAAGACAGCTGACTTATTTCCGACATAACCCTAAGAAGAATAGCAAGTGGCTACGTTGTCAAGGTAATTCTTTAGCATGTTGCATGCAACCTACATGCAGAATTAGGCTAAGAGCAAACTAGAAATGGCAATCGAAAAACAATGAGATGAATTTTATTGTTCATTAAGAGGCAGCATAATCTAAATATTTACATTAAAAAACTTATTTACATCAACAATTTACCATTCTACGAAATTATGTAACAAAGGAGTGCCCCTTGATACTTTAACTCCTTATACGCCTAGCAAGAACAACCCAGGATCCAACTCTTGGCAAAGTCTTACAAGCACATTTGATGTATAATAATTAAGCAACCCCATAGCTCTTATTCATGAAGTATAAGGAGGTCTTATTTGAAATGGGACTACAAAAACCTGCACAGTGTGTGATTGAATGCTGAGAACTCGACCAGTCTCCGACGGAAGAGCAAGAGAAAGAATCGGTGGCGCCATTTCTGAATTTCTGGAATTCTTCGCCCTAAAATTTCGAGCAATCAAAAGACAGAGGATTAAAACAAACCAGAACAGAAGTTAAGAGACAATGAAGAAAATAGAAAGCAGATTGCATATCGCATGTCTAGCTCAAGCTCTGTCCAATGCGATTTTGAACAGAGCAACAGGTGAAAAAGTGGGGAAGATAAGTACAAATCACGAGTTTAAGTGTCATTTTACCGGAAAATGAGAGTTTCTCGGGGGAAATTGAACCCGGGTTGGCTTATGAACAGGGACTGCGCCAGCATCGAAGAAGGACGACGTGGTGTTTGGTGCCGGCTCTAAATAAATTATTAAGAAATTAATTAAAGTAATAATTAATAATTAATAATTAATTCCATCAATTTCAGCCGTCAGCGCAATCAGCCGCGTTGATTTCAGGGGATCTAATGCGTAGATTTTTAGGGTTTCTTGTATGACCACAACAACGTAAATTTTGAGCGAGAACAGAAAGATAACTTAATTTTATTGGTCGAGATGAAGCAAATGAAATGGAAGGAAGATTTTAACATATCTTGGAGAAAAAATGAAAGGAGGATTTTTCTAACGTGTTTGGTAATGTTAGGTTGAGAGTGAACCTGTCCAGGAATAGGAATTTAATATGTCAAAGATCTGAAAAAAAAAATATTTATAAATAAAAACCAACAATAAGTTATATTTTAAAAAAATATAAATATCTATTCTTATTTTAATAATAATTCATTTTGTATTTATTTTTATCTATGATTAACTTTTTTGTTAAGTCTTTAGATGTGATTCTCTTGTTTAATTTTCACCTTTCTGTTGATTAAAAAAAATTCCACTTTTCTTATCTTTATTTGGAATATTGAAATGAGAATTTTTTATGCAGTGAGGGATGGAATGAGATATTATATTTGGAAATTCAATGTAAGGTTATCACAAAGTTAAACGTTCCTATAAGTCATTGACTCTCCTGCAATGGTGCGGGAGCTTTGACTCTCCTCAATGGGGGCTTATTTTGGCATCCATGTGACTTTTTTATTTTCTCCCTTATTGGTGGACGATAAGGAAAGGTGTGGTGATGGCAATGGTTGACATAGAAGCAGTTGTTGGTTCCATAGTAGTTTTTGAAGTGAAGATGGAAGAGGCAATGAAGGAGGATTGGCAGGAAAAGATTGGAAGAGGCAGTAATCGAGATATTATACTTGAAAATCTAATGTAAAGTTATTATGAAATTAAACGTTCCTATAAGTCATTGACTCTACCTATAATGGTATGGGAGCTTTGACTATCCTTCATGGGAGCTCATTGCAACATCCATGTGACATATCTATTTTCTCCGTTATTAGTGGACGATGAGGATAGGCGTGGTGATGGCAATGATTGACATAGAAGCACTTGTTGGTTCCATAGCAATTTTGAAGTGGAGATGAAAGAGGCAATGAAAAAGGATTGGAAGGAAAAGATTGGAGCAAGAATCATAGAGGAGAAGGACAATCTTAAAGAAAGAGTGCCGATTGACATGAATTGTGTTGATTTAAAGCACATGATTAAGGTACTGGGACACGATAATGATTTAAAATTTTTAATTAGGAGATTTAATTAAGATGTGTCGATAAAGTCTATTATTAATGAGAAATAAAGGAGGCTATTCGCTAGCAATATTATGAGCAATCTAATAGTTGAATTGATGAGTTTGTTCACTAATTAGTTGAATGAGTATGTGGAAACACAATTCAACAAAATTAGTAAGATGATCAAGAATGGTAAGTCATGAAGCTATATGAGAAATATTCTGAAGGTCATTTGGACAATTCAAGTAGCAGATACATTGAGCGATATGGATCCAAATCTACACATAAGGTATGCTTTGCTCACTGAATAACTTGACTTGAATACTTGCATAGACTGATGGAGATTGAATACCGATGCAATGGAACTTCTATGCAAGGTAACGAATGAAAATGACTAATAATTGGCTATGTATGACTCAATGAATGTGCCATTACATTTTTGTGAAACCGTGTGTGAAGATGGGCTAGGCAAGTGATATCTCAAGTATGTATGGGTTGACATATAATGTAGTTGGTGATAATGGTTTTGATAATTCTCCTATTGAATCTAAATCATTTGGTATAATCTCCGATTATGGTTAGATTGTTTTGTCAAGTTTTGCTTCATGACTGCTTAATGATTATTCAAGATGCAATGGCTAAAGGACTTGTGAAAGCATACTTTGAGAGCCAATGTGGCTGGTTTATAGCGATTGATTGGTGTAAATAAGGGCTTGGAGCTCTCTTGGTGGTGCTGATGGAGATTAATATGCCCTCACTATATAGTAGATGTGATCTGAGTAGGCTAGTGTGTGTATTTTTTATTTTTTCCTATTTTGTTTGGCATTACGAGAGATTGTGCCCTGTGAATCATTTGCCATTGTTATGGATGTTGTTGGTTCGATTCTATAGTGTTCTTTGTTGACTTGGAAATTGTTTTTGGCATTTAGGTCATTTCCTTCCCTCTTATGATGAGAGTGGCTGTTAAAAATGCTATGAATTATGTTGCACTGGGGCATAAGCATATGGGCTCAATATTTGAGCAAGGCTTTAGACTACCTTTCCTTCCAGCCATTTAAGTTTACTTTAGACTACCATGAGTTTCAAGGCACAAAGAATTATATGTTGTATCTCAGTTTGCTTCTTGATTTGCAAAGAGTTTATCTTAATGTCCTTGAGTATTTTAAGTTTACTTATGTTAGGGTGCATGAGCCATTGTTTGTTTTGGGCTCTTTTATAGTTGAGTTATGGTTGATTGGCTTGTGTAACTATTTTTTTTTTTTAATGAATTGATTTTCTTCTAGCCAAAATGATGTTCTTATCAATAAATCAAAATTTAAAGGTTATGTCTCAAAAAAGGTCAAAATTTAAAGTATCAATTAAATAATCTAACTTTTTAATATCAAATTTAAAAATATTTTTTTAATAATTTTAAAAAATAGTTTTACGAATTCAAAAGGTTATTAAACAAAAATTGGTGTTTTATTAACTATGAGCATAAAAAAAATTTTGCTAAATAAAAAAATAATAATGGATATTTCATTTATTTTTTATTGGGAATATTATGTCATTTGACCAATTCTCCTCATCATTTCATATTATTTTCATCTAATCAAACGTATTTTGTTTAATTGGTTTAGAGAATTAAATCAACTTGATTCTAGGACTTGGTAAAGCTAGTAATTCAAGCGAACCAAGTATAACCGGGCTAGGCTTATTTGAGATGGGCTAAATAAGCATGAATTTAAAGAAGAACTCAAATAGCCAAACCTTACTTAAATTGCTTCAGGCCTCAGGCTTATTTAGGTCAACACTATCGCACCCAAAAATGTAACATGGATGGAGCGCGATAGGAGGTTTCGGCCTTCGAGGTAGGAACAAAATAAAACGGGAGTTGCCATTAAAATTTTGAGAGAAATCTTGGGAAACTAATTAAAGGAGAATAAGAAAGGCCTACAAAAACAAAAACTAGGTTTGGGAGTCGATTGAATATGAAAAAGGTATTAGACACCTCACAATACCTATTCGTGAGAACGGTTACCTGAAGTTTATTATACTAAATTAATATGGTTTTAAAGTTATTTTAATTATTTTTTTATTCACGTGTTTTAAAAAATGATAATAATAAAGTGGAGAATATTTATTTATTTAAAGGGAGAACTTGACTCAAAATCAAACTCTGAGGCCGTACCCTACGATGAGGATCAAAGTTCATGTAGTTCGTGAAAATATTTTTGAAGAGAAATTAATTAGAAATAATTTACTATTTTGTAAATAAAATAATTTTTAAAAATTTGACATGTGTGTTTTTAAATTGTAAAAAGTAATTTAATTTTAATTATTTTTTAAATTTTTGAATTTTTGGAATAAAGAAAAGAAAAGAGTTTAAAAATTATTTTTTTATATTTTATGATTGAAAATTTAATTACAATACCTGCAGAGCTTTATTGACTTATACGGCAATATAATTATTCTATATATTTGCAAAGATTTTAAAATCTCACACGACAAAAAAGTTTAACAACTTAGTTTATTTTTTAAGCATGTGTGTACATGTACAATTTTTTTTCAAAAAATCTTAATCATCATACCTGTCGCATCTAGAAATGTGATGCGGACGGTGTGAGAGCGAAGGTTCCGGCCTTCGAAAGGAAGATCGAAGAAATAAGAGTCGCCACCAAAATTTTAAGAAAAATTTCGGGAAATCATTTAAAGGTGAATAAGGATGGTCTGCAAAAATAAAAAATAAGTTTGAAAGTCGATTGAGTGTGGAAAAGGTGTTAGGCACCTCACAACACCCGTTCGTAAGAACGGTTACTTAAAGTTTGTCGTGCTCTATAAATATAGTTTTAAAATTATTCTAATTATTCCTTTTATATTTATGTGTTTGATATAAAAAAATAAGAATTAAGTGCGAAATGTTTATTTATTTATGGGGAGGACTTGACTCAAAATCTGACTCTGAGGCCTACGTACCCTGCGGTGGGAATCAAAGTCCACGTAGTTCGGGTTAAGAAAATTGTCAATGGTTTTCTTTATTTAGAATTTTCATAAAAAAGAGTAATAACTTATCAATTGCAAACAAAACAATTTTTACACGCTGTGAGTTGGTATGATTTATTGTGTAAAGATAATTTCCTTGTTCCATTTATATATATATATATATTTTTAAGCTATTTTCTCTGTTATACTTTTTTTTTTGAAAATTCACCTTGTCAACATAGCAAAGTATTATTGTTATATATATATATATATATATATGTTTTTAAAGAATATTTCAATATGTCTACGGAGACTTATTGCCACTCGTGGACGCTTAGATAATTCAAATGACCTTAATGCCTTTTTAAAATTTCGTATTGTGTTTCCATATAAAATCGTAGATCATTTATAAAACATTTTTATTCTAATATATGTTCTTTTGTACATTGAAAATTTATTTGATATGCCAATAAAAGCTTTTATCACTCATAGAGTATGATAAAAAAAAAAACCCATAATCATCATAACAAGAGAGTCTTATCAACTCACGATACAAAAATTATCTTAGCAAATTATAGAGATTAGGAAATCTCATAAGGCTAAAAGATTTTGAGGTCATTATATAAATATATCAATTTATTTTATTTTATTTAAAAAAACGTTTATTATTTTGTTTTATTTTATTTACAAAAATTTATATATAAATTAATAATCACATTATCTGTGAGAATATATTATGATAATGCAATTATTTTAAAGTTCTCTAAAAATTCCTTGAACTTTCACACAAAAATAAACTTATATATTTTATTGATTTAATTAAAAAAATGATAAATCAATAAAACTAATTATCATGGAGGATCCTTGGAATCTATATCATCATATGTATAAGTTAGATCTGTCCACCTACGAAATCTTATTGATTTTCATGGTAGGTGATCATTTTAAACGCCTATGCGGATTTCTTAAAAATAATCTCACATGGCCAATAAATAAATAAAAAGATTAATATTATAATCCAACCATACTCGGAGCAATCACCATGAGATTATCAAATTCTCATGACCAATCAATAAATTCTCATAACTAATAAGCAAGCATGATCTGATTGCTAAGGGCATAAAATTAAAAAAATGAAAAAAAATAAAAAAAAGAAACAATATAATTTGAACCTGTAACTGTACTCTTGTACACTCATCTAACACATACAAATGTAGAGATAATTTCAAACACTCGTCCAAACGCCTATATATATTGAGCCAAGCCAAGATCATTCATTCAACCATACATGTATTCGTTCAACACATACACATACGTATATTGAGCTAACCTAGATTCCCTGCAAACTGAACGAAAGAAAAAAATACAAAAAAATCCCATCTAATTCTCAACTCCAGATTACCAGCACCAAATCATAGTCAGAAAGAAACAAAGACAAATATGCAAACAGGTAACATAAGCTAATCGATCAAAGTCAGAGTAATTTGATTCAAGAATTTCGAACCTATTGGGGTAAACTGAGAATTTCAAATCTTTCTCATTTTCAGAGACTCAAACTGTTTCCAGAATCAGTCACGAACTCCCTCAGTTTTTCTTGGTTCCCTTCTCCAGAAAAATATTTAGAGACTTCGGACTCCTCTTGCCTGATTCCTCTCTAAAACAAATTCAGCCAACTCCTCCTCCCAAAAATCCTCTCAACATTTTTAGTTTTGACTCTCGGTCTCTCTCCTTTTTTTTTAGAAATTTGGCCAGCCCTAAAAAACCCAGACGTCACGAATCCTCAACCTCAGAATTTATATAAAGGATCAACCATCACTTACCGTTACACGTTTCCCTCTCAAATCATCATCTCCATTTTTCTGCTTTTCCTTCCTTTCCGCCAAGTTTCCGTCCACGTTCGTGCTTTTCTTTTGCCTTTTGCCGAAAGTGCTCAGGGGTAGGTGAAGTAATCTGTTCTGATTTCCTTTTCTCATTGTCGCTTTTGCTCTCCTTTGCTGTGCACTCTTGATCTGCTCTGCTCTGTCTTTTCATCTTGATGGCGACTTCTACCTTCGTTTTGCTGTCGTGTGTAACTTGTCTTGCTCTGCTCTAGCCGAAAAACCTAATCTAGGGCTGCTCTACACTCTGCCTCTCGTGTGTGCGCGTTCCAGTCTGTGCCGTGTATGTGCGTCCTACTCTGTATCGTGTGTTCTGCCCTATGCCGTGTGTGCGCATTCTGGTCCGTGTCACCCCTTTGTGCTGTGTGTGTGGGTTCTGGTCCATCATCTATTAGGCTGTGTGTGGGGGTTTTGGTCCATCATTCATTCGGCTATGCGTGTGTGGGCAGGATGAAATTGCTAGGCCTTTCAGCATTTCATCTACCTAGATATATATATATATATATATTTTTTTTTTCTTCCCTTTTTTCCCTCTTTTCTTTTTATTCATATTATAATTCTGGAAATCCGATTAAGAGAAAAATTTGATTTTGAATTAAGCAAGAATACCTCCTCTGTTTTTTTTGCTAGGTTATTTTATTTAATTTTATTTTTTTAAAAAATGATCCTAACAAGGATTAAATTTTATTTTTGAATTTAATTAATTTCTTTTAGTGAACTAAAAGAAATAAAAATCCTAATCATAAGATTAAATTTTAGAAATTTTTACACTTCAAAAACATAATCTTAAGAAAAATTAAATTTTATTTTTGTATTTTTTATTATTATTTTTTTATGGTTAGTTATTATTATTAAATAAAAAAAATGCTTGAACAAAATACAGTGTTCACAATATCTATAAAGTCTTATTAACTTATACGGTAATATGATTATCCTAAATATCTGCAGAGATTCCAAAATCTCACACAATAAAAAATTAAATAATATACACTTAAGTACATTTTTAATTTAATTGATTTAATATATAACTTACATATATTTTTTTAAAACTTAATTGTCATATCTGTAGAGTCTTATTGACTCATACAATAATACGATTATCTTAGAAATCTATAAAAATTCAAAAAATCTCACATGACTAAAAGATATAATCAGTAAGATTATAATTTAAATTTATTAATTTAATTAATTAATATTATAAAATAATGTTTATTATTATCCTAAATATCTGCAGAGATTCTAAAATCTCACACGATAAAAGAATTAAATTTATTTAAATATATTTTTATTAATTTACCATATTTATTATGTATTTATATACTTTACATATATTTTTTTAAAACTTAATCGTCATATCTGTAGAGTCTTATTGACTCATATGATAATACAATTATTTTAAAACTATATGAAGATTCAACAATCTCATATGATTAAAAAATATAATCGATAAATATGATTATAATTTATTAATTTAATTAATTAATATTATAAAAATGTTTATTAATTTATTTACAAAAATTTGTTTATTTACTTATCATATAAATTGAGAATCACAATATCTGTGAGGATATATTATCCCACATGATGATGTGATTAATTTAAGTCTCTACGAAAATTTTTAAAATCTCATATAAGACTTAAATATTTATTATAAAAAGAAAATTAATTTTAATAATAAACCTTTGGAACTCATATAAATACATATAAGATTGATCCTCATACCTGCGAAATCTTATTGATTTACACGGTATGAGATCATTTAAATGCCTGTGAAGATTTTCAAAATTTCATACAACAAACTTTAAAAATTGATATTTGTGTTTAGCATCTGGTCATAAAAGAGTATGTATATTCAAGAATCATTCATTTAAATATAAAATTTACAGAAGCAGTTAATAAGGAGTAAACCATTTTCACTTTTGACTAGGCCATGTTACCTTAAATGCTTGGTTTAATGCTTCAATGATATTCAAAAGAAAGTAACATTAAATAATATGAAAGTAGCAATGTTATTTCATTAAAATGGGAAAACCAAATATGTAAGTCATGTAGCAATCACAGTATTATCCTTACAAGTAAAGCTTCTAATCTTTCCAAAAATAATCAACACATCCCTTCAATAAAATAACAAGAAGTTTATACATTTTTTTGTTGGTGCCAATATGAATCTAAATCCAATTTCAATCTATGTCACAAATCACTCGCAACTTGGGGCACAAACAAAATGAAAATTTGTTCGAAGCTAAATTAAACTAATTGGAACAACAAATAGAACCTCACTTAAACTATATGGAGAAAAACAATTAACTATTGTACTAATTACATATTATGATAGGTAAGAATAGTAAGATCAAAGACACATCCAATCATTTAAAACTCATCATAACTTAAAAGCACTCAAGAGATTTAAGTCGACCAAATCATATACTAACTCACTCAATACGTAGATAGCAATTAACAGAAATATGACAATTCCAGGGTCAAGAGCTAAACTTTTAATGATCAAATTTTATATTCCCAAAAAGATGAAAGAACAGGAAATGCAGATTACCAGCCAATTAAAATAAGGAATGAAGCCAACAATCCTAACCACAGCGAACCTAATATGAGTTCCATCCCTGGCGGAATCACCATCCCCCTCTTATCCACCATTAGAGACTGGGAAAACCAAAGAAGTGAGCATACAAGCCCCAATTGCCACAATAAATAGACCATCAACACCGAAGTGAATCCATTCAAGATGCCAGATTCAAAAAATAAAGTGTAGTGTGAGTCTGATAGGGG